GCTAAACGATAATTAATTACCCCCTAGCAATTTCTGTAAGCGTTACAGACATCTAAGCCGCTTAAGTTGATTGCAATTTAGCGAGAACCCCCCTCGGCGATAGATCGATCCACAGTCAGTACCATAGGGTCTGGGAATGATCCCAGCGCGCTAAGTTTCACCCTCATTGCTAAAAAGGTTAGCCCCACCTCCCACAGATTTTCGCACGTTTTCTAGTTTAATATGACGTCACGCAGTGCCGAGAGCCTCATTTTAGGCTGTCACATATGATTCTATTAAACCAATTCAGTCAGGCTGCAAGTGGAACCTCTCTTTGGGCGTGCCGGCAGGGTGAAATTAACGGTTTCATGGATATCTTTAAAGCTTTAACAAATGTAACAATCTTCAATACACCCATACACGAAAAAGCATGAAAAGTTTAGAAAATGCACAAATGAGAACATTTTCCAAAGCACTCCGGGAGGGAAACCTGAAACTACGAAACTGGACAGCAACACGAAAAGAAAGCCACAAAGTGCAGAAGGAGTGCACAGTAAATGTGTTGAACTCTATATCCTAACTCTAAAACTAAATCTAAAGTGAAAAATATACATCCAATGAAAATGGTGACACTACCTGGAAATAGAAGGAGAACAATTGGTGGCAGGGATGGAATCACGACCTACTTTCAGCTACAATCCAACTGAACTGTTGGTCTACATAGTATATTATATAGTCCAAATCAGTTGGCTATTCACTGAATGTAAGTGGATATTGCAATCAGAAAAATGCAAATAAACAAGACCTAACATCCTTTTGTACGTAAATCCATAAAAAACAGTTAATTCTTTCATGTTTTTTTCCCTTTTTTGTCTGTATAGATTGCATAACAGCCGCTTTCATCAACGTACCAGTAAATCAAGTGCAATATGTTTTGTTAAGGATGTTAGGTCTCAAGTGAAGTGAAGTGAAGTGCAGTGGGTCAAAAAGATGGGATGTGAAACGGGGGAACATCACTTGGGACTCTACAAAAACCAACGCAGTGCAATGGCGGCTCGGGCTGGCTACTCTGGCAACGGCAGTGGATGTTGTCACTCATCTTACCATCCACGTCGATATCATCAGCCCATTCCTTCAGCTGGTCGGGCTTCAGCTGTCTGCCTAAGGATCTGAACACATTACCCAATTCTTTGATGGAAATCTTGCCGCAATCCTTTTTGTCGAACAACTTGAATGCCGCCCTGGCGTCTGTAAAATGCGCCCTTGTCATGTAAGAACGGTGTTAAATACTTCAAAAACGCATCAATATTTTGCGACTTGGGCCACCAGCAGAATCCCAAACTCTATCGCCAATACCAGTTTTTTTATTGTACAAACCAAGTGTTAAAATCAATTTCTTGTGGCAATTGTATTGTATGTTTCAGGATAGATGGATGGATATGGAAAGCTGGTGACCCTGTCAATAACTCTACAAAGTCTTCAACAATATAAAACTGTGGAAAACTTTGCACCCCAAACAGAAGATTGTACATCTTTTTAAGCAGCGCTTTCGAAAGGGTAAGAAAGGGTAATTTCCATGTTCATATCTTGTTTTTTCTCGATCTTAAGTGTAGTCTACACAAAATGCTAAAACAGTATACAAAATCACCCTCGGATATACGCCACTAAAAGATGTATTACCCTCTGTTAATTCCTTAACTACGATCTGTCTTACCATCCAAGTCTACCTCGGCTGCGAACGCCCTCAGCTGCTCAGCCGTCAGCGCGCGCCCAACGCTTCTGAACACATTACCAAGCTCCTTCAGGGAAATCCTGCCTACATCTTTCTTATCAAACAGTTTGAATGCTTCGCGCGCGTCTAAACAGTGAGAAAAAAGGTGCATCAGAGACATGATATTGCAAGTGAGTGTGACCGTGCAGAATTAGATGCCGATGCCAAGCGCTGGTGACCATTGCAAAAGCTGCTGTTGCTGTGAGAAGCTTTACTTGTTAACAGTACTAGTAAGAGCTGATGGTGCCAATTCTTACTGATTATAGATGAGAAAGGTCGTGCTTTTTTAAGTATCTGATATTGGATAAAAAGTTATATTAACGTTAGATTAAAGTCAAGAATTAGGTGGGCTGAACTTGCGAATTTAGTACTTTAGTATGGTTATGCATAATTAATTCTCATAATCTTTTAGCTGTTATTTCATTCTATTGGCTCTTAAATGTTGGCTGTTTATTGAAAACCTTTTTTGCTGTTAGGCTTCAAGTCATTTAAAACTAGGAGGCCTTATACTCCTGTGCATACATGGATTACCGCTATAATACGCAGAAACCAAATATGCACGGAAATCTTTAGGTGCCATTATATATATTGAGCATTTTATGCGCACCAATATGCAGTTTGAAAAAAAAAGGTAGGCTAGAAGTAGACATGCTATCTGTAACTTCCTCCTACGGATCGGGAAGGAAACTGTTAGTTTTTTAAATCAAAATGATATATACAAGATTTTCAAGCACAAGACCATATTGAGTGAATGTTGTTAGTCATCCAGTCAAATAAGAATGATAAATATGAATAACTCTGATACTGGAACTTGCATTTAGCAACCGACCGACGAGACCTTTCATTAGGTAAATGGCCTGGATAAATTGGTCACATAATCTATTGCCATAGACTATGTTCTGTCACATTTTCTAAACTTATATTTTAACGGCATACAATGCCTCCTAGACCTCTACATGTAAAAAAATTCTGAAATTTAAATATAATCTCTCACATGTCAGCAAGGTATATCTTATCAAAAGCGGCTGAGTAAATTACCATTTATAAACCCATTTTCAGCTCTTAATTTATAATATTTTTCTTATTTCGGGAGTGGGTGAAATATGAAAAACTTAGAACTCAGAAAGCGGTTTCTATTTCGTTATTCTTGGATGGTAAGAAATATGTGGTGCACCTTAGGGAGAAAAGTATTGACATTTTTAGAAAAATAAAGCCGATGTAATATAAAGTTCAAACTCTTATTGAGTGACTTAAAAAGTAACCATTGCCACCGCTTGGCCCTCTGAAGACCTCTACATGCACTGTAAGCAAAAGAAATACCCAATTCCATTTTAAGACAAACTAAAAAAGCTTTTAGTTATTTCACAGCTTCATGTATTGGTACATAGCATGCCAGTGGTCTGTCAAAATGTTTTTTCTTGTTTTTTGTTAGAGATGGGAAAGTCCTTTTTCGAGGTTTGATCATGATATGGATCTCAACGTCAATAGGATAATATATTTAAAGCAAACAATTCGATTGACTTTTAATGGTTCATTTAGTGGAAAATGCAGGGATCGCGTCGACCTCCACCCCACCCCTCTCTCATACATATTTTATGCACATGTAGACCTACAAGGATTAATGTCAGGTTAGGATGAGGTACCATTTTCACGTGCAAAGAGCGCCATTTATTAGACTAACCAGCCACAACCACAACATATTCACTGTATATACTGCAAGCGCATGCACTCAGCGATTTAATCTTAACAACAGAGTACGGCTAAACGCAGTACTAGCGTAATTGATCTTTAAAATATCAGATAATCAAACTTTACAATTTAGACAATAAAGTATATATCTTCTGATAAAAAACATTACCTAATCCTAATTAATGACACGGCACTAATATGAATAAATATAAAATCTTTTTTTTTCAAATAGTCGGTGCACTTTGTCTAATATAAGTACGGTATTTATAAGCCCACTAAGATAGCGCTGGTTGCGGTGTAATACGAGCCAGACGTGCGCCGTATTAGGGGAGCAGAAACATCTGCTTCTACACCTGAATCATATCGCCTAGCTCCTTAAATGGCAGCCGCCCAGGTCAAAGTTAATATAAAGTTCCTTCTGCTTTGGGGAGAGGAGCGGATTATTACGTATTATATATATATAAAAAAGAATATAAGTTTTAAAAAGCTTTGACGTGTCATACAGCTAATATGTTTCGACAGTGCAAATGTCATAAAAGTGATTTAACCTTAAAATAAATAATTGTTTTATATGTATAATTTAGAATGTTTACATCCATCAACAAAACGGTCTTTTATTTTTAACCACTAGAGAGCATCAACATAGATCTACATGAAAATAACCTTACCGTTCTTTTCTATCTCGTTCAGAGTTCTTTTATGTTCGCAGGGTTCCTAGTGGCAAGAAATAAAGAAAGCAGTCAAAATATAATTAGAAAAACGAAACATTCCAAAACACGATAAACTAAAAAAAAGAACATTGTACTTTAAAGCAGTTGTACTCAAAATAAAACCATATTATTGTTTAAATTCCCTTTCCATGGATTCAAATTCTTAACGCGGTTACTATAAAAAAGCAGTGCTTAACAGTGAGAAGAAGACGGAAAGCTTGAGGAAACGCCTGTTATCTGGTATAAAGCAACCTACCTAGAAGCCAGGACACTTACCCCCATGTTTCTTTTCTTTCCTGCGTATACGCACTCGCAACCTTTACTTCCCAAGTACTCTAGGGAAATTAAGAAGATAAATGAGAATGCAGCGAGTAACTACATTAGATTATTTTAAAAAATCGTTGCTTTTTTGTGCAGGATGCAGTAAATGGAGGTAACTCACCAGTTTAATGCGGCGGCTCTGAACTCCTGGTAATGGCTGACGGTTTGTATCTTACACCTGCAATGCAGCAGCAACTGGGACATTCCAGGCAACAGGCGGCGCCACTGGCTGTTTATAAATAGACTAGAGAGAAGCAGTCGTTCATCTTGCCCAATTAAAATCACTGTTAAATTTCCTCAGGAAATTATTGCAAGGGAGTTCGTGTAAAAACTGTACAAACAGGGGTGATATATACTAGTTCGGATATACTCTCCTCAAACGAAGGGCGATAATGTGAGTTGGGGGATGAAAATTAAAAGTTTCTGTTTTAATCCATGCTCCCAGGACCAACCATGTTTGAGGCACTGATAATAAGAGCGCAGCTATTCATAATGAGGTAGAAGCTTCAATTATTTTCAATCAAACTAATGCTTTTTCTAATTGGTAATCACTTTTTAAACTGGTGGCTTGTAAAAAGTAGAAAAAAGTTATGATAATTCGTTATTCGAAAAATTACAGTTGGCTGACTTTCCTGATGCCTTTTCTGGTACGTATCAGACGTCACTTTTTCGAGTTCCGGACCCAAAACTACTTTTGAATTCTACGATTTCCATTTTTTTATAGATCACAGTTAGGCCAGACAAAATTGATGAGTTGGTTAACGAGCGCGACTGACCTCAATTCTGAGGGTAATCTGAATGTTTTTCGCACAATTTTTTTCAAATGTAGAAATATATAAGTTTGATAAATCGGCCACACTTAAAATCAATCCAGGTAAAAACCTAAATGCTGATGTTTTTATTCTCTAAAATTCCTCATATTGCCACATTGTACATGTAGGTATGACGTTTCTCTTTTCCTTTACAACCTTATTTGAGATAATTAATGAATAAAAATATATGTAATAACGACTGACCCTTAACCTAAGCTGCTATGTTTATATGCTTAAGAAACAAATCAAAAACAAATATTAAAATTTTTTGTTTGGCTTTGCGTGCATTTCCTGGGTTTTCACTTCATTACATTACATTATCTAAGATGCTTATATCCAATCCTATTCCATGAAACGGATATTTGACTTTGTTGAAGTATTTTACGATTTTTTTATCAGCCTTTTTTTGCATTTGAATCTACACCTGTTTATTGCTGTCTACATACAGAATTGACAGCCTGCAACAGTTGCTACCTCCTAATTACGCAAGAGGAGCATGAAAGTACGGAAATAGTCCCCAGATCTTATAATTTTCAATTAGGCACACAACATGAAAGGGGAAGTACAGAAATAGTTCAAGGACCAGTGCTTTTAATTGGGTATCAGTATTTTACGAATTCTTCTGTTAATTACAGAAATATACCGTTTCATTACACCATCATATCATTATATCACGTTCACCGATTACAATTGATTTTATGATTATTGATTAATATGTCAGTTTCCTTGTATCGCACCTCGATCTGTAAAATTCAATTAGTCTTATTACAAAAATATCTATGTGTCTTTTCCACAATTGCAACAAATAACTGATCCACGAGTTGTGGTTGCGGATATTCAGTCTTATTCTTACTTTTTCTGTTGATTACAGCGATAGTATGGCTTCTGTCAGAGTGAACTTGTTTTCGATAGCAATTAACCTATAAAAATATTGATCATCTCCTTGATGGATATGCCCCTCACAGAAATTGCAAATGTTCGTGACAACACCGACTCAAAAAATCCTTGGGGAATTTTTTCATCAAAAAACGTAAGCGACGAGGAGGGATTCAATGAGAATAGTCTTCCCTGCGTTGTAAAATTAATCAAATTTGTTGACCAGAAGTCGTGATTGGAACAAGTGCACGTCAACAGTTTCACGGGATGTTTTGGCTTATTTCACCTTGTCACAACATAACGAACTACGTAATCAAACAACGTGATGAATACCAATACGTAATTTGAAGATGACCTTGAAATAGTTTTTGATTTTCGACTCCCCATCTTGCTCCTTCTCCCCATCTGGCTCCAGCCATCATTCCAAGGGGGATAACTAACGTTAGTAGGAGATGTTCGGCCATCAGTCAAATGGTCTTCTGGCAGCTGTCCTCGGACTTGCTGGTGTCACCGTTGTAATTTACAGCGCATTTGGTAGGTAATATGGGCTGTCCAGCAGAGAGGTAATTTTCTCATCTTTGTCATTTGACGAGCACTGTAAAGTCATTTAAAACATGACAAGTGAAACAAAGCAATGCAAAGAAAACGAGCACCAAATTGCCTGTTGCACAATATCTGTTAAGTCATTTTCATATCATATCATGATAATTTTAGACGTATTATACCAAAGAAAGCGGCAGAGCATCCACATGTGCACACATTGTATCCCACCTGTTACTGCAAACAACAGCAATGATGAAAAAAGAATCGATGAAAAGGTGTGTGTTCAAGCAGTTTATCAAATAGTGTAAAATATGTCCTTTCGATAATTAAATGCTCTCTATTGCCTTTATTAACTACATGTAGCATGTATCTCTCTAAGGCTTGTAATTACGTATTATCATAGATGTGCCATATTAGCTTAATGGTTTCATTAAGACCTAGGAAGGTGATTTTGCCGACGAAGCAGAAAATGAGAGAGGGTAGTAAAATGCCAGATGAATAATCATTATTTTATTAATATTAAAGGTACCTTTGTGGCATCGCGTCTCAGCGGACTGGAGGGCAAAAATTCTAAATCGAATTCGTCGTGTAAAAGACAGGTGTTTGAAACACAGAATTGCCAAACCTCTGAGTCGCAACATGTTGTCCAATCTGTATGTGGACGACAGACATGGCATCATCTTTTGCTCTGTGCCAAAGGTCGCTTGCAGCAATTGGAAATTAATTCTGTTGATTCTTTCCGCAGACGTCAGTCCACTGGATTATGAGAAAATCCCCCTGGCGTCTGTTCATAGTGGGGAGTTTTCAAAACACGTGAAACTTTTGAAAACACACACTCTTTATGGAATACAGTATCGACTAAATCACTACTTCAAGTTCTTCTTTGTAAGGCATCCCCTGGAAAGAATTCTGTCCGCCTACAGGGATAAATTGGAATCCGCAAAACCGTCTACGTACTATCCGTCCGTGGTTGGTACTAAAATCCTCCAACGATACAGAGAGCACCCTACGCAAAGAAAATTGCGAACCGGGACGAGTGTCACTTTCAGTGAATTCCTATTGTTCATCAGAGATGAAAACCTCAATGGACACAGTTTTGACGTTCACTGGAAAGAATTTTTTCATCTTTGTCATCCATGTTCCATACAATATGACGTTATTGGACATTATGAAACACTAGCGGACGATTCAGAGAACATACTACGTTTATTAGGTGCGGGCGACAGGATACGATTCCCGGACTATCATGGTGGTAAAATCCACGTGAACACCAGCAGCTCTGTAGGCGGTTATTACAAAGACATTGATATAAAATTACTGAAACAAGTTTGGAAAATTTACAGACGAGATGGGGACATGTTTGGATACAGATTTGATGATTTCTTGATTAATCATTTAAACCGCACTGTTTAATTTTAATGATGAACAAAATTTATGCGAATTAGATACGCAATCATAGACGATTTTGTGGAAAAAATAGCCCCTACTATACTTGACTTTGTTACTCAATTCTTTTTCATTTAATTTTATTTTAAAAAGTTGTTGCTAAAATAATGAACTCAACGGTGACGAGCTTAGATGATGTTCTTAATCAGTGATTCTGTCCAAGGCCATTAACCAACGTAAGCGCCAATACATGACGAATTTTTGCTTCATGCCCTTTGTCATCAATAAAATCTAATTCACTTTAAAGGAACAGAATATGGACTTTTGTGATGTACAACTAAACTGGACTGACATTTTACAGGGCATATTGTTCGTCACCAATGTTTTTTTTTTTTTAGATTGGCATGGGCGCTTTTTACTGATTTTTGAAAAAGTGATTGCTTTGACAGCTAAAACATTCGATGTAAGCTGTAATTTTATACAAGTCCGCTACGACTGAAGATGCAAATATAAATCGCCCATGGTCAATTAAAGATAGTCTTTATGGAATTTTCCTCGAAAAGTTTTCTCCAATTTACGCATCATGCTCCACCCATCAAACAACTTGAAATCGATGTTTTATAATTAAGAGAATGTTTGAGTTATTATAATAAAAAGCATATCTAACGTTACATTAAAATCATCCATTATCAGATATTCAGACCGATAACAGATAAAGCTATCATGGAAATAATTTACTGTTAAAATGATAATAAGGATAAAAAGGAGATATATTGACTTAAATATACAAACAAACAAACAAAAAAAAAAAAAAAAAAAAAAAATTCATTTACTACATAATTTTATTTTTATCATTTAGCACATACATATATGTGTATTGAGCTTGTCTTGTGATGAAAATATTGTTTTTAACAATATTTGCACTTTCTTTTCTTTAATATCAAAACGATCAATATATCACTTGTTGTGTGTATCCTGCGGACTGTATAGATGAAAGCTTTTCAAGATAGTAGAGCTTTTCAAAGCAAATTGCAATGTATTAAAGCTCCCTTTTTCAACATTACACAGTAAAAGTAATATCTCCATTTTGAGAGAATCCTTAAAACAACTTTTCATTATGTGATACAAGTAAAATAATCAAATCTTATTAATCTTGTGACTTGAAAAATTAAAATGTAATAGAGAAATTAAGTGCAAGGACGCTGACATTCTCAATGCCAATGAAGCATCCTATGTCAGAAATCTAAAAAAAATGTCTTATTGAAATTGCTAAATCACACTGACATTTCAGATTAAGATAACTTCTTTCTTATCAGCCTTTTATTCTTCCTCCAATCTAAAACAAGCCCAGAAAGATGATTCATCGTCTTGAAGAGTTAGTTTCAAATCTGAAAAATAAATAAATAAATAAATAAATAAATAAATAAATAAAAAATAGAAAAAATGCAATCCAAAGTATTATTATATTTTTGTGTTGTACACATTTTCAGTTATTTATATATATTTCATACAGCAAATATGTAATAACATCAACCTGATACTAAAATAAAAGCAAAATGAATTTAGTTATTCAAGTTACTTTTTTGTGCATATCAAAATTAGGCATTGCACACGTTCCTCTACAACTTACCCTCCAAATCAAAACCAGTGCCTGGAACCAAATGAAAAGGTCTTCCTACAGATTCTGGTGAAGATTCAGTACATGATGACAGATACCAAGAATCCTCCTCCAGGAATTCTGAAGCATATTCACAACTATCACAGCGAAGACAGAAATGTGGAGAACCATCAGGGCCTCGTGGATAGGCTTCATCTTCGTCTCTATTATGGGTTCTTATTGCACCAGCATGGTATTCGGGACGATCCCGTGTCCAAATGTAATGGTCTGGTTCATACTTGGACATTATCTGCAGATGACATTACATTCAGTTCAGTGGCACAGATCCATTATAATGAAACCATTATATAATCATTTATTGAAAAGAATAAGGCAAAAAAAAAAATACCATATTAATTGTTAAAATTATCAATATCTAATGGGATTTAGGTCAATATGAAATCTAAAAATTGGTGTTGGTATAAGATAAAAAAGAGAGAAGTGAACAATATATACATATATAATAAATTTAACAATGAGCCAAACATATACTAACTTCCTCGCATGTTTGCTTGCTAACAACTGCTCTATATTCCATTTTCTTCCAAAGTTTGTCCCTATTTTTGAGAAAATTTGGGTACTTATTCTTCCATGTCTTCCCAAGAGCCCATGGAAAAATTTCATATTTCCAATCTTCATCATCTTCTTCCATATCATTTGCTAGGTATCTGTAGATAATAACATATCATGCTCAAATTAATAGGCGCATTTTAGAATGTTTTTTTTTTTTCAATAAAATAACAAATGTGTATTTGAGGGAGATAACTTACAATGCAATGAAGAAATTCATTCTGCTGTATTCTTTTGTAGCCAATCCAGCTCGTTTGAAGAAGGCAAAAACCATTGCCAATAAATACTGAAAAAGAAATATAAAATTTTTTCAAGGACAAAAATCTTGGAATTTTTAAAATAACAACAAGTCCATGTTTAATTATTTTTTAAAACATATATTACAAACTTTATAATGTAAAAAAAAAAAGAAAAAAAATCTATATTTGGTCAAAATCGATCAATTATCAGGCATCAATGTGTAAACTGACCTTGTCTGATATCCTCAAACATCTGTCTCGGGCAAGAAATTCGGTTATCACTTCATCTTCTGTAACATTACAAACAAATGGAAATGGACAATCAGATAACAAAATGAGATAAATGTTATAAGAATTAGAATGAAGTCACCATTAAATTTTATATTAAAGACCCTTCCCTCCAACTTCCGTGAATTGACATCTTAATCCCCTTTCAGCCAGTAACAAACTGATTACATAATATTACATTTAACTTCTTTAAATTCTTGAATATATATATTTTTTGAGCAAATCTTATTACCCAATAACTGGAAAAATGATTGTATTTCCTTGCTTTTTACAATTAAAATTGGCCTCTTTGGTTTCTTTGCTGGACTTAACACATTTTCCTTTTCTGAAACCAAATCATGGTCCTTGGGAGATTTTGGCCTCGCCCTCTTGTTTTGAGTTTGCGACGAACTTTTTGATGATATCAGGTTGTCATTAGAAATATATTCATGCAGCTCTATCCGAGTTTCCCCTTCAAGTTCAACTTCACGCTGTCCAGCTTTCCCGTTGCTCTTAAAATCCATTAATCCCATCATCTATTCTTCGAACTTAATTGCAAAGTGACAGCGGAAAAGCTCTAACCAGCACAAGAAACTCGATACATAGCCAGCAAATTTTATGTCTGCAATCGCAGACAGCGAAAATCCAAATGACACATGACGACAAACACGTTTTGAGTGTCAAACTTCTGCTCGTGCAGAAAAAGGTCGTCTGCTGCCAAACTGGATAGCTTCTCTTCACTTTCTTCACCATCTTAAAAAAATAATTGTAACATTTTATCTACAGAACTGTGAAATATACTATGATAAATCACCATCGATGTCTAAATATTAATTCATCATTTAAAAAATGATATTTTAGACAAATATTGCACTTTGCAGGAACTTCCTCATTCAATTTGCCGCGAGAGGTCATTTTATTGATTTGGACCAATCGCAATGGGCCACGGACTCGACTCCCATATTTGGAGCACTTGACCTTAGAGGCAGCCATATTGGATTTTCCCAAACGGGGAGATCACAGTAGTCATGAAAATGAGGGCTGTTTTGCTGACTGCGGCAAGCTTTATGCTCACAGGAATAGTAATTGGAAATGCATATTTACAGAAGAAACAGTTTTACCCCTCTGTTGTGTACATAACAAAGTCTAGTCCAAGTATGGCGGTAAGTATTAAACATAAACAGTACACTACCGGCCGTGAGTACAACTGAAATGACACTGACATTGACAACATCTGCAACCATTTGTGCTACGTTTACTTACTAAATAGTTCACTGTAATACTTTCATACATGAAAGAAAGTATCATGTCATCTGATGATATTTATGTTTGAAGTGTGTCTCACAATTTTAATAGATTTGTAGTAAAATTAACATTGCCAAGTATTCACAAAGAATACATTCCGAAAAATGTCATTGAAATTATTCCTTCTAAGGACCCTTTCCCAATGCAACTATTTTCTATGTGGATTTATACAACTCTGCAGGGACTCCTGAATGCAATCCTATTAACTGAGTGACGCACCTCCTGGAACAGGTACAGGGTAATTAACTTTTGTGTGCATTTAGTGGCACCCAAAATGATAAGTATAACTAATTATAAGTTAATCACTCTTTACCTGTTCAAGGAAGTGTGTCACTGAATTAATAAGATTTCATGCAGCAAGAGTCCCCGCAGAGTCTGGTCTATCGACGTAGAACAATAGTGTTTATGGGAATGTACCCTTAGTTATCATGTCTGTCAAACTTAGATCTATATTTTGAACTTCAATTAGGTATTTTGGTTTCATTTTAAAAATTATTTTGAAAAAAAAATTGATTTGACAGTTATAAGTATAATACACATCTGAGACCTACCCATTTTATGTTTTTTGGGTGTTTTTAACTACTCAGTTTTGTAGACTTTGAATTGATTCATGACAAATGTTATTATTAGCATACATTATTTTATCATTTATATCATCTCTTGCTTTTCCAGGTGCTGTATATACAGGCATTTGTATTTGTCATCCTTATGGGAAAACTGATGAGGAAGATTTTCTTTGGACAGCTCAGGCCAGCAGAAATGGAGGTATATTATATAGTTTATTTTTTGTGATCATCATATACCAGTCCATGCAGGTATTCCCCCAGGTGTTTTCCCCTGTCTACAAATTTATTTATAATATGGTGTAACATGTACTGTACAGACATGAGCTTTTTAGGCAAAAACGCGGAATCCCGCATTTTTTAATTCAATTCTGATGGTTCTAGAAATTTGTCAATATCAGCAATAAAATAGTTGTTGGGTCCCATGATAAATGTTCAAAGTTTTTTTTTTTAACCTACTAGTAGGCTCAAGTCTGACTGTATAAATGTAAAATTCTTGTTTAAACCAAATCAGCTGTCAGCATGGGTGTTTGAATTCTTTCATACTGGTAATTTGCAACTGTTATTTGTGGTTATAGTGACCATAGAATGAACTGATTTATATTTGTACTTCTCATTGTAGCATTTAATTGAGCGCTCCTGGTATGCAGTGACAGAGACATGTCTAGCTTTCACAGTATTCAGAGATGATTTCAGTCCACGGTTTGTGGCATTATTCACGCTATTACTTTTCCTCAAGTGTTTCCACTGGCTGGGAGAAGACAGAGTAGATTATGTAAGTAGAAATAAGTGTTTTTCTAGTAATTGGGAAAACAAATCCATGATGTTTTAATTGAAGGCGTACAATATTACGAGAAAAATCTAAGGAGATAAATAATAGAAGAATCTAAGAAGAGAAAGATTCACCCCCTTTTAGAAACTCAGGGATTGTCTTGCCTAGGCATTAGTCTAGTGATCTTGTACTCACACATTCTCTCTCTCTCTCATTCATGTACATTCCAACTACTATTTCAGATGGAACGAAGTCCAATTATATCTTGGTTATTTCATATCAGATGCTTAGGTATGTGGGTATCTGTATTGTTTGGTTTATTCACTTTTTTTTAAGTATGATTGAATGATATTTCAGATGGATTGCTTTAAATATCATTTTCATGATTTTAAAAGATAAACCATATTTATAAGACTTACATATTCTGGAGAGGGCTGTTTAATGCCTTTCAATATATTTATATAATTCTTAAAGAACAGATGATTCTGCAAGATTTTAAAATGTATTTACTCATTAATGCTGTTTTTCTAGCTTTGCTGTTGGTGTTGAGTTCCATAGACCTGTATTTTGTCAACCATGCCTACTACAGTACTTTGATCAAGGGAGCATCAGTGCAGCTTGTCTTTGGTTTTGAGGTAGATATATGGTTTGTATGAACTCCAACAGATTTAATAAACTGTGACAGATTTCCTGAATGAATAGAATTTGTCATTTCAACATGGATTAGCTTTATGCATGACAATTGCTTCATTAATTTATTAGTTACTACAACCTAAGTGGTGTAATTATATTGAAATGCTTCATATCATATGAAGTTAAAACCAGTTCACTTTTTATTTGCAGTATGCCATCCTGTTCACCTTGGTATTAACAGTCTTCATAAAGTATATTTTACATACAGTAGATGTTCAAAGTGAAAATCCATGGGAAAATAAAGCAGTTTATCTTCTTTACTCAGATCTAGGGATGGGTAAGTTTGGTTTCAAGATTTTTAGAAATTTTGTGTGGTTATTTTAGGGCAGTAGCACAATTGGAAAAGCTGATGTGGTTGAAAGCTTTTATTTATATGAACTTATATCCAATAAGATAATCAAAGGAGAGACAACAAGACAAGAAACACAAAGTTACCTATTCATTATCCTGAGCTAAACGTGTTTTTTTAACGTTTTCAGGTTTTGTGAGAGTCGTATTGTATATCACTTTCATGATTATAATGATCAAGGTTCATACATTCCCGTTGTTTGCCATCCGACCAATGTACCTTACCATTAGGTGAGTGTTTGTAAGTTTTAACGTAGATAATGATGCAGTTCAATAATGAAGCCAATTCCTTGTAAACGTACAAATGATGTGACCTACTTGTGTAATGAGAGTCATTTAATTTTCATCAGCTTAGACAGTCTATCTGTTTAGACAAATCCAGTATGCGAAATTAAAAAAATTGTAATGTCATTACAAAAGTTCTAATCTAAGTGGTTTGAAATGACACTGAATGAAAGGAAGAGCTGTTGAATATCATTGCTAGTTTGAAGAATAGTCTTGTCAGATTCTTTATTGTGGTTGTTACCTGGGACAACCAGCCCCATTACTCTCTTAAAATAGCACAGTGGAAGATATATGATACTAAGTTTCTTCCTGCATTGATTTCATTGCAGAGCCTTCAAGAAAGCTTTGAATGATGTTATAATGTCCAGGAGAGCCATAAGGAATATGAATACTTTGTAAGCACTTGTTTATACTTTAAAACAATCATATTAATTTTATTTTAATTCAGGCTTACAATTTGTTTAGTGTTTAATAGATGACAATATATATATTTTTTAGTAAATTATTATATGTATATTTGTTTGTATTTGTTTTGTTATAGGTATCCAGATGCTACAGAAGAAGACATCCAGTCAGGAGATAATGTTTGTATAATATGCCGAGAAGAAATGGCAGTCAACTGTAAAAAACTCCCCTGCAACCACATATTTCACACAAGCTGTCTGCGCTCCTGGTTTCAGCGCCAGCAGACATGCCCCACATGCCGCATGGATGTCTTACGATTGCCTGCATCAAGGCAACGAAGCACCCCTCCACAGCAGCCTCAGCAACCACAGCAGCAACCCAACTTGCAGCAGCCTCACTGTAAGAATATAAAAGCATTTCTTTGCTGACTGCTTATTTCAAATTATTTCTATATTAGGATTATTGAAAACAAGCTTTCTATATGACAACTTTTAAAGTCTCAATTAACTTCCATAATTTGATATGTATACCACAGCACTTTCCCCTTTTTCATTGCAGTGGCTGGCCTATTTGGTGGAGCTTTTCCTGGTGCATTCCCAGGCTGGCCTCCAGCTCCAGGACAGGTGCCCCCTCAACCTCCACCTGCAGGTAGGTAATACCAAGCATTATAGTCAGCCTAGCCCCTGACTGCCAACATTTTCTTGGCCTACTCCAGGTGATAAGTATACTGTGTGTTAAGCAGCCTGGCCTCTTAAAACTCCACCTTCTTAAAATTTCTGGCCATGAATTGACCTACTTATCTGCCCTGGTGATATACAGCACAGTTCAGATATTTTTTTGGGGGGTAATGTGAAATGATATCCTTTGGTATTCTCTAAGTTATGCTATTTGAAACTATATGGTGGCATAATAGCTTTTGTGGCAACAATTTTACTTCTGTTGCATCTTTAACTTTGCTGATGACCAGTTTTAATCCACTTCGTTTTTCTTTAAGGAGCCCCCAGTAGTTCAGCTCCACCAAGCACAGCGACACCCTCACCTCCAGGCACGACTGCCCCCAACATGGCGGGAGCTGGGTTCCCTGCAGGCCAGGTGCCACTACAGCCAGGGGCACCTGCCCCACCTCTCCCTGGGTTTATGCCTCCATTCATGCCACCACCACCACCTATGTTTGTACCTGGGATGATGCCGTTTGGTAGGTTGTCTACATTTCATAGCAAAGGTTATGAGGTACCCCCCCCCTCTCTCCAGTTGCTAGAATTATCAGTAGAATGCAATCAGATAAACTTATTCATAATATCAATGCTTACATTTTGGTATCTTTTAAGTATTGTATGTACACTGCATCTTATGAGACAGTGAAAAATTTATATTATAATGGCTCCTTTCTGTTTTCTATTTTCTTGCCTATTTCAGGTATGCCAGTTCCTAGTCCCCCTCCCAACTTTTCAGGTTTAAATGAAGAAGAACTTAGAGCTATGGAGGGGACAGAAAGGCGGCATTTAGAGGCCAGGATACAGCATTTGAGAAGTATCCATACACTGCTAGATGCAGCAGTTGTAATGCTTCAGCAATATACTACTATGGTTAACAATTTAGGGTGAGTTTTGATTGTTGACCAAGGATATTTAAAGTGTTTTGTTTGGAATAGCAATTGGCGTTTTTCCCTTCAGTTGTTGAAACTTTCATGAAAAAAGCCAGGCATCATAATTTTTAATCCCAGGGAACTGGAAGATGGCTTGATCCTTGTAAAAAAAAGGGATACTTATAAAAAGTTATGTATTTATAATACATTTTTTTATTTGCAGAGCCACTGCTCCACCTTCAACAGCAGCTTCTTCAGCCTCCACAACAGTAACACAAAGTCCATCTGTTTCCTCATCATCAAACCTGGTCACTTCCACATCACCATCCACAGACTTCTCTTTACCTAGGCCACTCAAGGACTCTGAGAGGCAATCAAAAATACAAGAAAAAGACTCTAGTAAGGATGAAGGTATGTCCTATTTTTATCAAAAATCAGTTCATATTTTTTGTCCAATCATTGTATTGTTTGATAAGAAAAATATGCTAGTTTTACATAATTCTTGAATTTTGATCAGAGTTTGTTCTTCATTTGCACAGCCTAACTTTTCACTGTTGACTTTTAAGTATTCAGTGTGAAAAAGAAGAAATTAACTGAAACTAAAAAAGGTTTGAATTAATTTTTTTAATTAAACACCACCTGGTGTTTCAGCTATAGGTTGCATTCTGATCTTTTCTTAGCCTCTACTTATATAGGTCGTGTAATTTTCATACACAAATTTTATTATGCTTATCGCATAATTTCAGATGATAGCGCCCTTGGTGCTACTGGATTTAGTCCAGTAAAAAAAGAAGAACTCATTCCTAAATGGGAAGATCCATCTTTGGAGGAAGAGAGTGACGAGATGCACGAGATAAGGAGACGCAGACTACAGAAATTCTCATCACAAACGGACACAGACAAATCAAAAACTAAAATAGATGACTATGATAACTTAGATTGAAACTTTTTTGCACATCTCGGCACTTCTTGTTTGGCCATCTATTTCGGTCTCATGGAAATTGCTATTTTAAATGGCGAGGAGTTAAGTTGTGCAGCGCATTGGTTAATGCCAGTTTCTTTTCTCTGCATGCATGCTGGCAATGCATTCCTTGACTTTCTGGTAAAAAAAGTTCCTATGGGCACTGCATACAGCATTTCTGCATCTTTCACTGATTTAATGGAGATTGGCTCCAGATTTGTTTTTGGCATGTTGTAAGTAGAAGGCGACAAGCCTTGTTATCAGTATTTATATGTATTTCACAAATGGCAGTAATAGATGTAGTTACAAAAGTAGTATCTGTATGTCATTGTATGTGCTGCAGTCATTTCAACAGAAGGGCCTAGTGCTTCTAAAATTTGTAATGACGGTTCAAAACTGAAAAGCCATAAGGGGGTTACTCCCATCATTATTTTTCTCTGTCCTCATCCCATATTTTCAGTTTACATTCAGTTTGTGTTTAATGTGAACCATAGTAAAAAAAAACTATTTTAAAGCCCAATAAGATTAATGCTTTAAGCTGGATGTAAAACGATTAGCATTGCCTCTTAAACTAAGACACTAAATGTGCACTTTTAAAATTTTGAGCAAATTGAGAAATGGTGCTATTTTAACAATTTGTTTTTGAAACCCATAATGGAAAGAGAATAGGTATTCAGTATTTTTTTAATGATGTATATAATGCCAAGTCCCAGCAAACATATTCCATTTAGCTAGACAATGTTATGGAGTATTCAGCAACTCTATCAGCTTAATATATCAGGATTTCATGGACAGAATTGATATTTGCTGGTTAACACATGGTGAAGGGGAAGATAATAAAGAAAAATGAAAAGAGCTTTGATAGTCTTAGTTTCAATATTGGTAAATAATGGAATACAAAATGGGCCTCTACATATTTTTATTGATCATATAAGTTTAAATCCTAACCAAGTTTTAGCCATGAGAAGTTAACCTCAGCTGGCAACTACTTTTACAGAGGCATTTAAGTGATAATGAATTATTTCCAAATTTTCTACCCCTCCCCCTCGGAAAAACAAGACCAAAACCACACTTTCATTTCAAATTTATTTCCAAATACCCCATCAATACAAAGTATGCAACAGACACGGCCATACTATCTGCTGTGTTGTCAGGTGTTCTCAACAAACTACAACATCTACACGTACACAAAATACTACTTGTTCATCAAGTCAGACAAAGGTGACTATTTCTAGCTCTAGTCCTTGTATGGAATATTTCTATGACAGCCAGGACACTAGGTCTTAATGGCCTACACTAGGCCGGGAGCTGGACAGAAGTTTTGGACCTGCTCCAAATATTGCATGTTGGCTTTGTAATGGCCTTAATTTCAATAAAATTTTAAATCAGTTGAAGTGCTGTTAAAAAAACTCAACCAGTTGAGTATTGCCCACTTTTGATAATTTTTCTTGTTGTTGGCCTCTCAAGACTTCTGTTTTTCTACGACCTGTGCATTGGTATCTAATTGGGTATCAGTAACTTGAAAACTACACAACTTTTGATTTACGTTAATTCACTGAATCACCATATCAATCTGAAACTAAATACTGAAAGCAAAGCTCATTTCTTCATTGGAACCTGTCTGCAGAAGAAACAATTTACAAATAAAAAACAATGCCCTTGTTACCCATATGGCACAGCCTGCAATGTGAGCCATGGATGCAGAGTCAAAAGCACCATCATCAAAATGACAATCATGTGTGAGATTCACTTTAACTTGAAAAGAAATGGCATATCCTAAGACCTATGAACAACAGCTAACTAATCAACAAATGCCCACCACCTCAGAACTGCTACTTGCTGTAACAACTGCACTACTGACCCTAACTATCTGGCAACATTTCATGTAGTGACACCTATCGAGGTATCCCAGTGGAAGTATCACCATGGCAACACTTCCATGCAGAGGTCCAAGATGGCACACTCCCTATTTTCCTGTTTACAGAGCCCTGAAATAAGGTTTGATTTCATATTGATTCTAAGCTGTGTGCAGTTATACAACTGGTTCACATCAGTAAACTGGGTGTAAACAGGGCTCATCTTGCAACGTCCCCCAAGTGGCTTGAAAACACACCACTGCTGATTTGAGCAAGATGTACTACATTACTTAACATTAAATAAAACCTTCATATTGCATAGCTTAGCTTCAGTGTTTTGTCCCCACCATCTAGCGGACGAGAACCTTCAAAGCATGTTCAAGGACTTTAAATCACAATAAGATTATGCAAATTAAGATCCATGCACTTCGGAAAACATGAATCTGTAAGGGCAACTTATGAAAACACCAAGCTGGAGATTTCTCTCAATCCAGGATTAAGCGAGTCTATTAGCTTTCCACCAAGAAGTAGTACTAGTGCTTTGTGTGTAGTCCAGGGCTTAAGGCACCATATAATGTCACATGTCCCCTGAGGTCCACACAATCTCGCTAACAAGACACAATGACATCACACACAGCTACATCTCAGTCACAGTGGTTCTGAACGCAGGTTGTCTGTGGTAGTGATAATACTAATAATTATAATAATAAAAAATTTGGTGTGGGAATAATAGTATGAATAATATCATCAGACCTGGCAATTTGCATCAAGCTGATCAAATCCTCTCAGAGGATTGTTGTGGGCATTATGGCCACGTTTGAGTTACACAAACTGTTACTGCACTAATAAAATCTCCCCTTTTCACACCTCTGGTTATGGAGAGCCTTGGATATCTAGGATTATAATGAACGAATGCAAAAATAACTTTGGCTCAGCATTAAGGCAACCTTGCTGGTTGCTGGAACCAAAACAAGGTTTGCCGTAAGTATACATGTACAAAACTTTTGAGCTCTGGTCCACTCGCTCAGCAGATCTAGCTCCTGAAGAGTGGGCAGAATTTGGCCGATTAATTAATTAATTATTACAATTTATTGCAACATCTCTGAATCTTCTGCACTGCATTACATTGGACTATCATGTTAACTTGACCAAATGTGTAAAAACTGGCTAGTATCATATTCCTTAAAAAAGTGGAAATTGTCACTGTACCGGCAGTGTGTCTCACACACACACACAAATATAAGAAAAAAAAAATGCTGATTTATACACCACTAACTGAACAGTATATGTATTGAAAACCAGCTTCAGTTTTTAAATGACATAACAAACACACTAGGACCCCTCTGTAAGTTCCAAAATGCCATACTGAACCAGAACTATGATATGTCTGACCTGGCCATGCCCCGCATTACCAGAGAGAAACCAAACTTCCAAGTATGCAGGGAACAAAGTGCCCTCCCATATTTCAGCAGCTTGCCCCCATTCTATAATATTCCCTCCTATGTGTAGTGAATGCCGTGAGATGACAGCCATTGGACTATGCTGTAACAATAGTAATACACAGCACACCTGTTTCTCCTAAAGCTACATTGACTTTGGTTGTGGATAACTAGAATCATCTACACAATTACGAGTTACTCGGCGTTCAAAAGCAACGGAACAGCTGGCCTTTGGGACTTGCAGAGGGATTGGATATGAATTTAATTTGCTTCTCTTTTACTTCTCTTTCTATCACCCCCAAACTGTTGATATGCTAGGAAACTACTGAAATGGCAGCACAATGGGAATATCTGCAATAAATAGGCTAATGCTACGTAGTACCCTTTTCTGTGTCAGTTATACCAGCACTGCTGTTAACTGTTTATATCTATTACAATAAAACTTACACATCTTAACCATACAGTTAACAGACAAAACAAAGGTATGTAAATATTAAATAATATTGCTGCCATATATTCAACTATGCACACTTGGTTTTAATTTTTCTATCCATTCAAAACTGTTTGAAATGAAAGCAAGCATCTTGCTTGTGTTAAAAACCTTTCTCAAAAATGCAATTCGAATCAAAACGTTGAACATTCACAAAAAATGTAAAACCACAATATCAATGATACTTTGTACACAATGTAACCTGGACTGCAAGATACAAATACTGTAGGTGTTTTTTTTTCTTGCATATCATGAATCAAAGCACAAACAAATGCACACCTATCTCCCCAGTTATATATTGCGCTCATAAAAGCATTTTCTAAATGAGTACAACTTGGATTCTGTAAAATCTTCTCTTTCTTCCATTCAACAAAAGAGTCTAGTGACAAGCTCTTATTTGCTTATATTCAACCAATCATGGAGCTTGTAACAAGTTGCTGCGGACACTGTAACTGTCAAAAAGTACCTCCCTTGTCTCCACTGTCTGAAAACAAAGAGTCAAATGTTTACACAATATTATCTGGAACAAATATTTGGCATGTTCAACTTCAAATTCTCCAGAACTTTTTTTAGAAAAAGGATAAATGAAAAAATTAACTGTTTCATATTTGATCTTATAGACCACTATTTGCACATTTTAAAATACCATGGATCAAGTGGAACATTAAAAAAAAAAGAAAAAAAAATCCTTACAACTAGATGATTAACCTTTGCCGAGGTAAAAAAATTTGATGTCTATTAACAAACCCTTACCTAGCCCCCCTAGTGCATGTTCTGCCATACTTAGGCATAAGGAGTCCAAGCCTGCATTGATCTCATTCTCTGACACACTCATATCTGAAACTGGAGCATCCACAGTATAGACTTTGAATTTCTGTGACTTACAAAACATGCATCAGGTAATGGTAAGATAAGAATAAAAAAGGAAAAAAAATTCTGCATTTATCACTTTTGATACAATATCATTTATAGAATTTGATTTTATGAGACTACTTTTCAAATCAACATGGCTGAATGTATTGGTCACAACATGGCTGAATGTACTGGTCACAACATGGCTGAATGTACTGGTCACCAAGGGGTCTTACCTGGTCTACGTGGGAGACCAAAAGGCACACCACTTGGGCGGATAGGTGCTGAGTAGGTCCGCTGGACTTGCTGTTTGGCCTGCAATATTAGCAAAATACAATAACCCTCTCATAAATAAACATATTTTCTACTTACGGATCAAAGGCAACATCGTCTTTCATTAAAAATAATTAAAACAGCAGCTCACTGTTGCTAGTTTACTAACAAATCATCATTGCATACTAAAAAATATAATTTGTTTGAATACTTATATAGATTACAGACAACAGCTCGTTCATAGTGAAATATCTAAATTTCTTAATGAAATTAAGATAGGGTATTTTTCAATTTTTAAAAAAATATATATAACAAGATGATGACACAAGGTATATTTCTTTCTAAATTTGGACAAAACCATCCAACGTGACAGGAAATTTTTCAACAGTTAATGACTCTCCCACTCACATCAGAGAATCCTGGTTTGAGCAAAGCTGCATTGAGGGAGTTGTTGCGCTGCAGTGGTAGCTGTCCCCCTGGGGCCACAGGAAACAGCGTTGTGCGTTTGTTGTTAAACGCCCACTGCTGCTGGATTAGTTTGGCATTGGCGGGAGTGAGAGGGGTGCGCACCGGGCGCTGCCCTCGTCCCACATTTGTCATGTTAGCACCAACTGGAAAAGTAGTTCCACTCCAGGACCTGGGGGGAAAAAATCCGCAAATTAAATATCAAATTTATATTACTACAGCCAGGTCAGGTTACCACAAACATACAGAAATATATTTCTTAAAAGATGATCACAAGATAAATGGAAGACTTCCTCAACAAATATATGAAATTCTTACCCTTTCCGTTGCTTGTTGTCGATGTTTGTGAATTTCTGGGGTATATGTCTCCAAACCTTCTGTATCTGTTGCTTCCACGTCAGCAAAAGGTTCTTCTGTCTTTGAGTAAATGCCTAAATATAAAATACAATTTCATATAAATATGGACATTTAATATAATTTAAGCTTCAGATAGAGGTACAAAAATTCCTAGCTGTAAAACATTTTCAAACTATCAAATCAGTATCAAAGTAGCTCAACAATGAAAACATCTTGTTGTTTCTTCACATCAGATAAAATATCCTAAGAAGGAAGTTGGGTGGGGAGTGCTGGATACAATTACTAGAAAAACGTAGCTACCTCATGATGTACAGCCTTGTCAATGAGTTGCAGGTAGATGTTAAAACTTTCATCCTCCACCTGACTGGACGTCAACAGCTGAGTGCACACTGTAACAAACATAAATAGGTATTATTTAAGGGACCAATATCATCACATTTATCATACTCCTACATATTAAATAGACACATTTGGGCTTGGAGAGTCCTTTATTACTACATCAATTGACGAATTATACAACAAGATAATTAAGGAGTTAATTAGTACAGAATAAAGGTGTTTTGTGTGGACTCTAGCATAATGGGCAATCAATTCTATCTGTAATGCTGCCGTTATATCTGTTGTCATTGATAACTAGCAAAAATGATATCGACACACATAGAGATACTTATGTACTTCTCTGAGGTTATATACCATCTTAATTATATATGATTTCATATGTTTCCGTTGACTATTTATATAAAAAGATCTACATTTCTGCAAATAGCAAAAGGGATATTTTTTAAAAAAAGTATCCATATCCCCAAGCAATACACATTATCATAATTAAATATCAATATAGAGCATATACTAATGGCCAAAAAATAAGTAGTAATATTTATACATTTCAAAGGAAATGGCTGGTTTCCCCTGTCTACCATCTGTGTTAGTGCAGCCCACCATCACCTGTTCCTGGATCAATCCCTCCCTTGTGAACCACAACATCTCCAGCCAAAACAGCTGGACTGGGAAATTATGTCCATGCCAACTGTTACCTCATGCTGTAAGCTTACTTGAGTTTATAGTGTCAGTTTAGGTAGATCAATTGTCTGTCTTTCAAAGTGCTTTTCAAAAAGATAACTGAACCCACTGTATGATGCATTTATTTTTCTTGCATATTATAATGGTAAGAGCTAGCATCAGTTTTTGTTCTACCCAGCAAAAGAAAGAAGCAGGTTTCTCTTCCTCTGATAGAGTCAAATTTCTATCACATCTAGGGTTGAACCAGCTCCTAAAGCAATATAAACAGCCTGGGGAAGCGCTAACACTCACCAATTTAGCCAAATGCTAAAACTTACTTAAATTGGCTAAAGAAAAAGGGCTTGATTTGACTTGTTTTAGCCAAATTATAACCATTTTGGTAACAAATTGACAAAAATGTGGTGATTTGGCTAAGCAAAAAAAAAAAAAAAAAATTGCTAGCGCTACCCCAGACAGCACACATACAAGTAGAGACCACACTATATTTACCTTTGCCCATGACTCTGGTAAATTGTCTGGGCACATCCCCCTCTGGTATGGATGAGGACTCCCCCTCGGTTCCCGTGGGAGAGGGCGGGGGCTCGGTTTTCTCTTGGTCAGGTGTGCTGGGGGTGTAAGCCTTCAGTGGAGTATTCAACATGGCACGCATTTCCTGGAGAGGTTGCTTTACATTGCCACCCTCCATTATGTCCTGAAAATAAACGATGCACACATTTACAATCCTGCAAATATGCAGTGTATAGTAATATACCACATATCCTATAAGTACACAGTACACAGTTATAACACTACAAGTATGCAATGTACACTTATACACCATAGGAATATAGAAGTATTCTACAAATATTGTGCATACACATAAAACCAACATACTGGATAAGGTGACTACCTTAAATAGGCCCTAATTAATCACCATATATTGAACCTGATTAATTAACACCAATCACGAAAAACACGTGATTTTGTAACAGCTGATCACAAAATCACTGAAGCGAAAATTTTAAACATCCTAGTGGTCAGCCCACTCTCTTATGACCAAACAAGTGCATTTGTCCATTTTGTACTCATGGTTGGAATCGATTCTCGGTAAAAGTACAAGAGAACAAAAGTACAAAAAAATTTTCTGATGCGTTTTCATTGACTGTCAGTATATATATTGATATATCCTAAAAATATGTGGTGTGCAAAAACATGTCCTAAAATATGTAAAAAAAAAAAAAAAGTCACTTATTGTTTGATGGAAAACGTCTTCACATAACCTTCCTAGATAACACCTACAACGATAGCTACGCAAGCAGCCAAAATCCATATTTTATTCTTACTGCAGATTTCCCCCCCACAAACTAGCTTCATTTGTGGTCGGGTCCTACTTAAATATTCATTGCTGTGCAACAAATTATGTACATTAAAGTCAAATGTTAAAAATAGCCTGGCATGAGGGGGAGTGAGAAGAGGAGTTTGTCTGGCATTTCCTTGTACTCAACAGCTGCAACATTAATCTCTAAGTTACCTGAAGACTCGAAATTAGCCGTATATTATATGAAATTCAAAGCAACAATAATTGCCTAATTTAATTTTTTATCTTCTTGAATGTCTTACCTTTTCCATCTGTCTCAGCTGGTTCTGGCGATCTTTCAGTTTGTTGACACTGATGACAATTTTATGTCTAGCACCTTTAGTAACATTCTGCAAGAAAAATTGAATAGGATTATACAAACCAACATCGTATTTTGAGGTTAAAATTCCACAAGTGCCTAAAAGTATAATAAAGGCCATAGTTCCAACCACAAAAAGGAAAGTTGAAATAAAGAGAAAACCAGTATGTCCTTTAACATAAATTTTTTGTATGTCATATCCAAGGACAATCAAGATGTACGAGAGATTTTTTAAAACCCTTGTTTCTTTTTATCATTTTTTTTAGGAAGGGGGGTGGGTGCTAACTGTTGACATGGAGAGTACTGTAAAAACTTATTCTTCTTTTGGTGCTTCAGTTTGTCACTTATAAATCACAACAGGAGTGGCAGACTTACATTAGCTTCAAGCCACTGTTCTGTAAGGCCCAACATTTCTTCATACGTCATATTCTGAAACAGGTAGGCATACTTATGCAGACGTAGGGTCTTCAACCACACTGGCACATCTGAAACAGGATTTAAAAAAATGGTCAAAACTTGTACATACTTAAAATGTGTCCCAAAACACAAATGTTGCATTAAAAAAACAATATAACAAACTTAATATGGCATAAATGTAGTCATTGTCAGGGAAAAAAATCACTTCAACTTTGGATTATAAAATTTCAGACCAAACCACAGGCCAAAGTTGAATCTGTAAATCTGGCTCCTGATGCTAAAATTAATTATAATGCAAACAAATCTAAAACATCTCTGGGCAATTTTGGTTTCAAGCTACCTCTCATTCCACTACTGTCTTCTAAGAAAGTATTCCTCTCGGACCGCTCATCATGGTGGGACTCGCTGCCACTCCCGGAAGATGCCGCGCTGCTCTGTGGGGAGAGGGGGGCATGATCAAGGGTGAGCGAGTGTGAGCGCGACGTGCGTGGTGTGCCTTCATCCTGTTGCTGCTGCATAAAGCCCCAGTCTGCAACACTCAGTGGCACGGGTACAGGAGGGGTCACGGATGCTGTCCGCTTCAGACGACTATGCTGGTTACCTGATCAAACAGAAGAGAATAAGCCTGTGGTTAACACCACTGCATATAAAGCAACCCACATGAATCATGGTATTTGTAATTCAATTTGGATCTTGGCACAGAAATCTGTCTTCTCACCCAGCACAACTTGGCTGACATCGCATCAAAAAGTAACAGATTAAATTAGACTGACTTTCTGCAGGAGGAAAAAAGGATAGAAAGAAAGATAAATATTACCAGTAGATGAGCAAAGGTAAAACACTAAGGAAAAATACATAATTCTGAGATTTTATTACCAATCAAACATTAATACTAGAGTCCCACACATTTCATTTTTCCACTGACCTGGCTGAGAAGAACCGTTATTCTGAAAGTTTGGTGGAGCTGAGGATGTGGTGTGTAAGGGGACATGCCTGCCGTCCCCTGGCACACTAGCACCATTGACTGACAGCATACTACTACTGCTGCTGCCAACGTACTGGTAATTCTCACAGCCATTCATTCCAATCCCAGAATCTCTGGCAGACCCGCCGCCATTGGGCCAGCCGTTCATGCCACGACCGCCTGGGGCACCAGTGCCGTTCATGTAACCAGGGGGCATGACACCAGTGTCGTTATAATGAGGAGCAAGTCCGTTGGATTGCTGTGGTTGCTGCTGAAGTCTAACGGGATAGTTAGTGTGTGCAAAACGTTCCTCCAGGTGGCCCAGCCACAAAGTAAACTGAGAACGTTCCTCGCTGTTGATGGCGGGGTGGATCAGGGAGTACGACAGCAGCTGACGACTCTCCTCAATGTGGACGCCATTCTCTATGGAGTACTGCAGAAGGATGGGAATGAGCTTGAGGTACTCTGTCTTGGCCACCTCGTTCCCCGGCCTCAGCAGTGGCAGGTGTGATAACAGCTGTATTACCTGGGAGTCCCTAGGCTCATTACACAGACTGCTAATGTAATCTGGAAACAAATACACACATAACTGTCATTGAGGATCCTGTATGAAAAACCAATAAATGTCACTTAATGACTGATTTATATCAGAAGTTTGACAATGGTGACTGGTTTGGGTTCTAATAAGTGGTTTGTTTTTATAGTCTCTCTTATACTAAGGCCATAACAAACTACATATATTTGATGATTACTTTAATTAGTCAATCCAAACTAAAATATAAATTATAATTTTTTCGTAACTATAATTTTTTAAACCTAATTTTTTGCCTACTTATAACTTACATAAAGAAGAATAAACATACAAAAAACGGACCTTGTAACTTTTTTACTTTTGAAAATATTTTCATTTGAAGTGTCAAATGTCCTTCAGTAACAGCAAAAAAATACCACGGAATGGCCCATATATATTCTCCCTGTTCTGAGATAAGTCAAAGATGACTGCTCAAGCATGGGATGTGTCACCTCTCTCTTCTTAATGTCGATTTCAAAACATTAGCATGCTGTGAGGTCAAACAGATACTACAAGTAGAGCTGAAATTCAACTCGATGGCATAAAATCTACTCAGCAGACTGACTACCTTGGGCTAATCTTAGGTCCCATTCCAACGGACACCATTACATACGTTGAACGACCCAACTCCGCGGGGACTCTTCCTGAATGCAATCAGTTCAACAGGTTAACATGCCTCCTCCCGGTGTTTAGTTCAATGCACAAAAGCTGGTGAATATATGAGTAAGTTGAAAACAAAAGGAGGCGTGTAATTCAGTTAAGCCGATTGCACTCAATGAGAGTCCCCGCAGAATTTGGTTGGTCCATGTAGACTGATGGTGTCTATGGGAATTAAGTCTAAGACTGGGTTCCCATACTTAGATCGATCCATCTAGATTGACCTAACTCCCTGGGGTTTCACGCTAAATTGCTATCAGCTCAAGAGGGAGCCTAGCGTGCACAAAAGTTAATTACCCCCTAACAGCTTTTAGTAGGCGTGACAGACATTTAAGCCAGTTAAACTGATAGTAATTAAGTGAGACTCCCCAGGGAGATAGATCGATCCAAATATCTGTGGGAATGGTCCCTAAGAGTAAATATGATATCATATACCTCTATTCTCAATGCAGTATTTGACCCTATCAAGGAGGAAATTGTTGTCCAGGATCTCAATAACGATAACCCTTTCATTATGACTGTGTGTGGTTTCAGTGAGTAATGATGATAAATCCTAAATCATTTCAAACCATTTAAACATTGCAATGAATGCCTTGTTATCGCATGATATTCAAACATCAGTTCCCACATTGTCTAGAAATAAAAGGAATCTCAGCATATTCAGACATGTTTATTATCCACGGCATGAATCAAAAGGTCAAAGTGACATTGTTACATCAGCTACCTGAAAATAACCACATGTTATATAAAATGAATCTAAAAGCATCATCTGATGCATCTAACCAAAACATATTTGATAAAGATCATACCTCAAAGCATTTCATGGGTAGCAAACCTGAGAAGGTCTTGACTACTGGCTAACACACTTATCAATATGAGTGGCTAAGCCTATGAATTCTACGTGTACAACTAGATTTTTCATTTTGGTGTGACCATAGCCAATTTAGTTACATAATGTCCACTTTACACCTACTCTTCAAAAACAACAGTGATCATTAAAATTTTGGTAACTTTCAGAAGTCTTGGCCATTCTCTGCTATCTGAGCTAAGAAGTCTTAAGTAAGCTCTAAACTTAAGCAGTCTGTTACATAAATTCCTGTGGTGAAATGTGACCTAGCTGACAGGTAGGTCAACATGTTGTAATTAGTCTCACATTTCACACCCCAGCCTTTTTATCAAATTTTTTTTTTAATTCCAGCTTTGTTATTTCATGATGCTCTCTTGAAACTTTCAGATATTTAAGAAATACATTATCTACTTTCATCTTGGAATCTATCTTGTAAGAAAAAAAAATCCTTGGGAAATGTGTCTGAAAAATCATTGGAGAGAGATTGTTAATGGGAAATTACCTTACAATTACTCATCTTTTAAACCTGTCAGCATCACATTTTAAACCTGTCGGCATCACATCTGGACTCAATTTCACATTATCCTAACAAAAAAATATAGGCTTTGTCACATCATGACACACATTCCTCAAATTCATTGAATTAAGAATTGTCACTAACATGTCAGTATTATATTACCTTTGTTTTGTATTGCCATTATTTCAAAATGTTCAAGTACAGGAAGTTTTAAAAAATCAACACTCCATTTACGTAAGGAGCATTTTCAATTTAGGACCATCTCAGGTAACACAAAAGAACAATCTCTTTATTAGTGCCTGTTATTTTGTCTTTTATATACCAGCTTGCACTATTCTTCCTTAAACAACCTATGCCGTGTGAATCTAATTATTTTTTCCATGTCCGAAGCCAGTGATATCATAGCCAACAGCCTGCCACAAAAAGTAACAACAACTAGCAATGACATGCATCAAGTACATAAGGGCGAAAATTAATCCTCGTCTGGATTTAACCACAGTATCACGAATTTCTGCCAGCTACACATGAAAATATTTACAGCTAAACAATGTCCTTATGTTTGAATTGGGCATCCTTTTGTATAAATGACTCTGCGCATGAAAAAGTGAAACATGCTTGCCAAGAAGACTGTTTTGCATCCAATACTTTTGAATTTTTTTAAACGTATAAAAAACAGCAATGTCTGAGCAGTGTAGTACAAATCTATCGGTCTTCAACATGACATTTTATCCTATATATAATGTCTACTGACTCCCCAAAATAAATAGAAAATAATTAACAGAAACAAAACTATAATAAAATATGATCCTGATAAAAGCCCAGGTCTTCAACAGTCTTGCAAGCTTATTCTCACATGTAAACAGAACCAAGATGTCCTTTTTTACCTTCAAGAGATGAGGTAAAAGGGCAGCACCTTTTATGTAACCTGATGTATTACTGACCTGCAAACACTAGTGGCATGGATACTGATGTTATTATTTGCTGTGAGACACTTCACACTTGAAGTGTTCACTGATCTTCATTGTGATATTTTTCATTAGATCAAAATATAGCAAAACACGTGCAAACTGGAGTACTTAATTTTATTGCTTTTATACTAAAAACATGTTCTTAAAATAATTTTTTCACCCCTCTCTCCATTGTGTAAAATATGATCATCATGCAACAGCAGCAATATTTCTATTCTCACTTTCCTTACAGTTTCATAAATTCCCTTCTTAAAAACAATATCCTGTCCTCTATGATTAGATCTCTAAAAATATATCTCTTTGTATTGTAAAAACTGACTCCAGTCTCCTTCTTAGTATAAAAAATGTGTCAGAACACATGCTGACCCCGTCCAAAGAATAATCAAATCTCTGCACTGATCTGTTCTCAGTGCTAACAAATTCTGATTGAGCACCTGCTTTTGTACAAAAAACAATATCAAGCAAGTGTGAATGTGTCCAAATACGATGATATGATGACTGATTGCAGAGAATTTCAATGTAATACTGTTACCATGACAGGCAGACGAAGCTTACAAACAATAAATACCTGATATATCATAGTTATATGGCATCTTAAACAAAGAAGGACATTTCCTAGTTGCAGAAAAAGAAGCATGAAGAAGAGAACAACACAAGAAGAAATCAGGGGGGACTGTTTAAGATTATGAATAAATAAGGGCTGATCAATATCATTACTCAAGCATCTAGCTACCTTCATGAAGATCATATGGAACCTTCTTGCTGGATGCAACTGAAAACTCATTTCATAATGGGACCCTTTTAAACTTTGTATACTATTGAATTTGTGGTAATGAAGCCAAATTACAAGTCGCACAATCCAATGAGACCTTGACTGTTCCCTTAGATTTAACACAACACACCTAACACCATCAATGATACCTGATCTACCTGACCAGTATCATATATATTCTGTTTTCCCTTCAGTTCACTAGCCATCGTTATATCTCCCACCCCAACACCTGAGGATGATATCATCAGGGGATACATAATAACAGCCAGCTACACAGGGGGAGAGCAATGGCTCCAGCCAGGGGTGATAACATCAAAGTGTAGAGAGAACAATAGAAAAGTAACTTGTGCAGGCAGAAAAACCATTCTTTCTGATAGGCATCTGAATATACCTAATTACCCAAACTAAAAAAAGGCAACCTATATGCCCTGATTGGAATCTTGATCATGGCTTGTAATTGCTGTGCATTGATGTTGTCTATAGCAATAAGTTGATAAACCCTGTTTATAAAGTGACTGGCTTTGCAAGGTGGTAGCTACTACCACTGGCAAATTATTGTTATTTATACCAAGTCTAGACATGGAAAGTCTTGGCATGCTACTTGAAGGTGTACTATTCCCTTGGCAAGATTATTTCCGTTCTTTTTTTTCTTGGATTTCTGCCAGGACCTCTTGGGTCTGGAGTGCCAAAGTCTACCTTCCACTACATTCTAATATCAAAAACTACTATATTGGGTCTGCTATCAAGAACAGAAGGTATATACCTTTACTATTATGCTCAAAGCATTTTTGCTGCTATTAGACACACAATTTTCTCACACGCCTCGTATTTCTTCACACAAGCAAGAGTACATGGAGATAGACCACTTTTCTTGGATTTTCTTGACACTTAAATATATAGGTGCACTTACTGTGACCCCCCCCCCCTCACACACACACACACCTTCCACACACACACCTTTCTACCTTACAGACAAAATTAACAAATGTTAACTATGAAATACTGTCTGTCCAATATATCTATTTGGATAAACTGATTATCCAGCACTCCCAAAAAAACAGACCTTAAAGTTGCCTTAACTTCCAAGTGACCCTATTAAAGCACCCTTTATTTCTCTCCTGTTAATTTCATTTAGACTCAGATTACAAAAAACAGGAAAAAGTCCCCTACATAGTGGAGGAAATAAGTCAGTATAGCCTGAGCACAGTTAAGCCTAGGTGTGATAATTTATGAGCAAACNCCCCCCCCCACCCCCCCCCCCCACACACACACACACACCTTTCTACCTTACAGACAAAATTAACAAATGTTAACTATGAAATACTGTCTGTCCAATATATCTATTTGGATAAACTGATTATCCAGCACTCCCAAAAAAACAGACCATAAAGTTGCCTTAACTTCCAAGTGACCCTATTAAAGCACCCTTTTCTTCTCTCCTGTTAATTTCATTTAGACTCAGATTACAACAAACAGGAAAAAGTCCCCTACATAGTGGAGGAAATAAGTCAGTATAGCCTGAGCACAGTTAAGCCTAGGTGTGATAATTTATGAGCAAACAATCCAGTCACAGCGCTTTGTCACATAGCAGACAGCATCATATCAAACAGAAAACAAATCACATGCAATGTGACAATATCAACCACTTTCTAATTAAGTCTGAAGCATCTGCGCCACTTCCTGTGCTGACGAGGAGACAGATTGTGGTCAACAGTGACAGTGATACTGACCATAACAAAACACTTCCCGCATACTTCATAACTGTATGGAGTTGGCATTCTTTAACAGCCCAGGTCCATTTATATATTTTACCTAAACATGATATATTGGCCAACAAATATCATTTTCCTTAACTTTATGACAATCGAAACACATCTTCAGCCAGTGTGCACAAGCCTGCAGACTTCATACCATTGTGAATCAGGTCAACATATACGAGGCAATTATAATTCAGTCTAGACTAAATCCTTGCCCTAATTCTAAATAATTATTTACTTTACAAGACATCAAACATTAGTTATTCTTATTTAAATGTGTACTCTAGTTAGACTTTGAAGTACAAAATTGAAGCTAATTTAGCTTATTATCATTTTGATCAGTTCCTGCATCTAAGCACCACTTCTTAAACAAAGAGGAACAAACTAGTGCTTTAAAGGCACAGTGCCTTGTGCTTTTAGTAATTAAACAACCAAACTAAGTGTCATGCCAATTAAAAAAAAATGCATGGTTGTTAGGATATTATGAAGACACAACATAACCCTTGTTTCCTCAATAAAAAATGTTAAAAGAGAAGAGTGTGTCAATATTTTCTTTATGACAGTCATCGTGTAATAATAGGATCAAAACCAGCACCAAATGTTTCATTCTTGTAATAAGCTATATTATAAATGTTTTCCCAAGGAACAAAGATTTGATCTACACATAGAAGAGAGCAAGTCTGACCATCATGACACCAAAAGAGCAAAGCTTTCCTTTCCTGTTATTGAACCACAAGAGACAATAGTTTCTTGTCTTAACAAGGGAAGTCCCTGAAAGCGTCTACATGGTAGAGGAAGAATACAAAACAAACTCTGACTTCCTGGTTGATAACGTCATGCTGTGCTGAACACAAATGATTTAATATTATATGTTGTGGATGTTGTGATATGAAAAATACCCATTTCTGTTTACATATTAGAAAGTCAAACCAGGGGTTTTAAAGTGTGTCTTTCCAGTTTGTAAGACAAGGAAAACTTATATATATCCATCGACATAATCTTACCAAAATATTGGCCATAAAATATATGCTTACTTTTCTGAAATATGATTTGACCCAGGAAATGTAATCTTATTGGTGATAATTGTTATGGCAGTCTAGNATTATTTACTTTACAAGACATCAAACATTAGTTATTCTTATTTAAATGTGTACTCTAGTTAGACTTTGAAGTACAAAATTGAAGCTAATTTAGCTTATTATCATTTTGATCGGTTCCTGCATCTAAGCACCACTTCTTAAACAAAGAGGAACAAACTAGTGCTTCAAAGGCACAGTGCCTTGTGCTTTTAGACCAAACTATAAACAATGGAGGGTTAACAACCCATATTGTACCTGTTTCTAGCTGTTTTGATAGCTGCACTCGACCAGTACTGTGATCTAGATCATCAGTATTTATCTATGATAATGAAACCATATCTTTCAAGCTTTAAATGAGGACAACTTCATTTTTAAGATTTAACTACAGTCATTCAACTGTCCACTTTGCCTTATGCAAATTATTCTAACAATGAAGACTGCAAACAGAAATATACCACAAAAGGTAAATCTATTTCCTTCACACATAACTGGCTTTTTGCCAGTTTGCTTCCAATTTGTATATATGTAAAAGTCTTCATCTTTTAATGAATTTACACTTTAACTACAATAAAGCAAAATACAATATACTGGATATCTCAAAAGAGTGCTTTTTACAGGTTAAGCCTCTATCTTTTGTGTACACAACAGTTAGAAAACAACCTGTGAAAGAGGCCGAGTCAATGGAGGTCATAGCATGCAATAGACCTGATTTGTAGCAGGCCAAGTAGCTGCCTGTATTTGGCCTCTCTAACAAGGTCAGGGGGCAAACTGTGTAAACAGACCCATAACACATCAACTCCCAATGCCCCCTTTACTAGTTTACATAAAAATACTATGATTCACCTGTAGTTACAACAGGAGAGAGTTTTTAAGTTTTAGTATGTACTGGTATTCAAATTAACATATGGACATGAAAGATTTAAATATAGAAGGAGCTGGTTGTTATAAATCAGCAATATATAGACAATGCCTTGTTCCTAGGTCTACCAATTCAATTAGGCATTAGATATCTAAATGCAAAGAAATAAATAGGTATAGTAATGGAATTGTTTTGTCTGAGATAGTTCATAATAAGGTTTGAGCACTTCCTCAAAGTAAACATCTGACAGTCAGAATTAGATAACATGAATATCAATTCAAAGAGTCTACTAAACTTGATACCTTGAATCCAGGATCCAAACTCATTAAGCTTGGCTCTTATGTCAGTAGGTAGCTACTGATACAATATAATAACAATTTATCTGATAAGCACTAGTGCATTTATATAATAAAACTGATAACAAATAACCTAGATAATTAGTCAATTGGGTAAGTGAATAAATACTAAAGATCTGCAGCTGACTCCAGATAAAAATCACACCTGTGTAAAGAAAATAATAATAACAAATGGCCCATATTTCAACTGAGACAAAGCCCCCACTGCACATACCTGCATCATTTGCCTCTTGTTCTGTGAGTTGAACATCAGTGCAGTCTGATACATTCTGTTCCAGGACCTGGAGTAAAAACTTGGCCTGTATGGCGTTCAGCTTCTTCAAAAGCGAGTACAATGCTACTGTCTGCTCACAGACATTCCAGTCCTGAAACCACCCAGTCACTGCATTCACCTGGTCGCGGAATGCATGTGTGGATTTCATTGTTCCTGCTTAATATCTGGTGTGGAATGCCCTTGCTCACACCTCACTTCTTTTGTTTTATATTTCCTCTGAGATACATTCAGGCTAGTGTTCCACTAGGCCATCACATCTAAAATAATAATAATAATAATAAAACATGAGTTAACAAAATTCACATCGAAGGTGACCAAATTGGCAATTATATTCAATATAATTGTCTACTAAAGAATAAGACAAAGTCACATCTTGTGGACAACCTTATGTAAATGTCAATTACAAAACACACCCTTGAGAAACATACAATGAAAATATGACATATGTGAAATTAGTAAAGCCTTGCACTGCAAGTGCTGTGCTATCGGAAAATCTCACTCAATCTATTGATTCCAATTTCCATGTAAAACTGCACTGGATTTTCTAAGAATTACAAGATCCAGCACCATCTGTTCATGTCACTCTTCTCCTTATCTCCGTCAAAACAAAAACACCAGAACCCAGACACTGCCTATTTGCAATCTCTATAGCCCCTTTGCTTTGCCACCAATGGAGGACTGTCTTCATTGATTTTTTCACTAGCAACTTCTAGGAGTGCTAACAGGCGAAGGAAGCCATGGAGTGCATGTGACAACTAAGGAGTATCCAAGCTCCACACTCACTAATATACCTAACACCAACAGGGTTAATCCATAGGATTATTGACTCATGACACATTGTATGTTTGTTGTTGTTGTGTATGAATATCCCTGAGCCAAACCCTTGTGAAGCCATTTAAAAGAGCTTCCTGTCGAATCTGAAGTGATTAAATAATGTTTATCTTTATTGTATGGCTTCAGCGGGATGAGTCTGGGAGAGGGTTTGCATGATGTTCTAATCTATGTACAAACATTGTGCTTTATCGTGTAGTTGCCTTGACCTTTATACTAACATTTACAACCATGGCAGTGAACTAGCAGTTTTTCCATCAGAATATATTACCCCATATTACTTCACCTATTTTCACGAGCTGAGGGATTCTTCTTCTATGAAAGAACGGACTACAATGTGCCAATAAAAATACCCATTCAACAAATAACTGGTGCAACCTTACATTTAGCTTAGGACAAACAAATGAAAGAATAATACAGATGTACTAGAAATTCACATAATATTTAGGTCTACTACTTGCACCAGTGTCATTTAATCTACTCTTAACTTTTTCTGTGTATGTCCTTTCACAAAATACAAGAAAACCTGTTTGATAATTCCATTACTCTTGTGGCAAAAAGGAGTAACATGGACTACTTGAGAACAGATTACCATTTGAGAAACAAGTTCCAAGTAAAATACGTATAAATTCCTGTTTACAACAAAGATATTGTTGACATATCTTTGCATATCATTTAGCTTATATTCCCATAGATAACAGATCTCTTCTTAAATCTACTGCCATGCTCGTCTCAAATAACTTCAACATGGATTTACACTTGTTGTATAAGTTGAAAGCTTCATCAAATGACTAACTGTGGAGTCATTCTGAAAAGGCTTCATAAATTTTCATTGTTGTAATGGGATTTTATATAATATATAAAGCCACAAGGAATTGGCACATTTTGAAAACAATACAAATCTGACCCTGGTTCTTCCCAAGACTGTTGAAACCCCCATATTACTTGTAATGAATATTGCATGATATGCTTCAACTTTCTCAGAATTTTCACATAACGAAAAAAAAAACAGAGGCTAGTCTATATATAAATAGCGCATTGCAAAGTACAATTCTTCATTGAAACATTTACCTTTTCTGTTCCTAACAATTCAAGAATTTCTGGTGAAACTTCATCCATTTAACCCTTTTCACAGAAAACTCACATATGAAGAAATTCTGGGAGGGGTTAATATTAACAAATGGGACTTTGTGAAATATAAGACATGTACATAAAAATGGGAAAGGCACGTTTACATCACTTAAAATGCTGTACATTCCAACTTAACCAATCAGTTCCTCAGTTCTTCTAAAACTTTTACTATTACCATGCTGATTTTCCGTTGCTGGTTTAAAACTTTTGAGTGCTTCATCCAAATCAACCAATACCTCAACCTTTCTCAAGAAGAAATGATGTTACGCTTCTCGCATTCCTCAGTCTTCGGGTGTGGAAACTAGGTCAAATCTTAACTCTGACTAAATAATAGACTCACCTGTCCAGAGAAATATGCTAAGAACTCTCGAGGTAGGATATTTTTTCTTAGTCACTAAGTCTAATATGAAGCACACGACACTGTTTACTCGTCTGCTCTGAGAATGAGTCATTAGGTTTATGGAGTAGCCATACTCGACTGATCAAAGCCAAACGAAAACACGAACAACAGACAAAACGGTTATCCTTCTTCCTTTTCGATTTCCTAATAGAAATGAATACCATAATAAAAAATTCACTCAGTCTGTTTGACAAGGTTTCACTTTAATTCACAAAACACAATAAAAGTACCTTCTTTGGGAAAAGCCAAGAAATTCTCACCTTGTTTAGTCTTTGTGTCTCTCAGTGCACATGTTGTAGTCTACTCATGACGTCACTAGGCGGCGGCAAAGTCCACACTTCCGGTTGAGATTGTGCTAGTTGCGATTCTCCCTTTGAAACTGGGTCAAGTTAAAATGAACATTTCACCATTTGTGTTGAAATATAGCTCATGCTGTAGAACATAAGATTTGACTTCAAGCACCGCAGCTAGGTTCTCGATGTGTTGAATCGGTTGCCGTTAGATTTACCTCAGAAATGGCTGCAAGTGGTTCGCAGACCAGAAGTGCTGAAACATGCACAAGACAACATGGAGAAGATCCCAAATCTAGTGACGATAACAAGGGCAGGCGGAGAAGTAAACGCCGTTACGATGACATTTTTAATAAAGAAAAGGATGACCATTGTGTAACAAAGTCAAACAAAAGTCCATGCAATAATGTGCCTGATTCATACAGTAATGCAAAACAGGGCAATGACATAAGTTCAGTTGGTGAAGTTGCCCATCGAAGGCCAAGAGAAAATAGACATTGGAATGTTGGTAAGTCTTGTAATCTTGCATCATGTAACAATGATTCTGTTGTACTTCAGTTGTAGCCTAGGCAATCCTTTACTTCATATGAATGATTATAATCAATATTGTTTGCAGCAGTAAAAAATGTAACTATTTATCCCCCCCCCCCTTGTTAGATTCTTATTAAACTTTTAAGTATACTATTGACCCATTAGAGCCTGCGTCATCAAAACAAACGGCAGCCATACTGGAGGGAGACCGGAATCGTCTGCTGCGCATGAACAAGCCATGTCTGTAGTTCAGTTCTCGTCTTCTGTATTTTCTTTCATATTTAACCGAGCAAAATGATGAATTACTGCAGGGTATTTGATCGAGATAAGGTAACTTANCTTAAAATTCTTTTGGATTGTGGTGTCTGGTTCCAGAAATTACAAGTTTGTAAGTAGGAAAAATTTTTACTTTTCTTTAATTTTAGGTCTGCAGACCAAATACCATCGAAGGGCCTGAAAGAAACTGAAAGTAGTGCCACAGAAATTTCAACACGATTGGTTAAGAGATTATTCTTGGCTCCGCTATGATAATGAGGCAGATGCTTTATAAAAAAATCATTTGCAACTGTATATAAATACAGCCTATGTAAAGTTACTTTCAAAGTTGAATCAGTTCAGTTTGTGAACTTTAATAAAATACCAGTACAGACTAGCAGTGTATGTTTTTACGTAAAATATCATTTTTCCTGATCTCCCACTATTTCTCAAAATCTCCCCAACTTTTAAGCTCAGAGGGGAGAATTCTCCCCCCTTTTTTGAGACCTTGGCAGAACCCTGCCCCTCACAAAATACAAGATAACCTGCACATTTATTGTTGTTTGATAATTCTGTTACTATTGTGGCAAAAAGGACTTACATTTACTACCTGAGAACAGATCACCATGTGGGAATCAAATTCTAAGATATGTGAAATATGTATTGAGTCCTGTTTACAACAAAGATATTGTTGCCATATCTTTGTATTTCATTTAGCTTATATTTCCATAGATAACAGATCTCTTCTTAAATCTACTGCCATGCTCGTCTTAAATAACTTCAACATGGATTTACACTTGTTGTATAAGTTGAAAGCTTCATCAAATGACTAACAGTAGAGCCATTTTGAAAAGGCTTCATAAATTTTCATTGTTGTAAATTGTAATGGGATTTTATATTATATATAAAGCCACAAAGAATTGGCACATTTTGAAAACAATACAAATCTGAACCTGGTTCTTCCCAAGACTGCTGAAACCCCCTATTACTTGTAATGAATATTGCATGATAAGCTCCAACTTTCTCAGATTTTTCACATAACAAAAAACAAAGGCTAGTCTATATATAAATAGCGCATTGCAAAGTACATTTCTTCATTGAAACATTTACCATTTCTGTTCCCAACAATTTTGCTAAAGAAATTCACTTAAGGTGAAACTTCATCCATTTAACCTTTTTCACAGCAAACTCAAATATGAACAAATTCTGGGAGGGGTTAATACTAACAAATGGGACTTTGTGAAACATACGACATGTACATAAAAAATGGGAAATGCACGTTTACATCACTTAAAATGCTGTACATTCCGACTTAACCAATCAGTTCCTCAGTTCTTCTAAAACTTTTACTATTACCATGCTGATTTTCCGTTGCTGGTTTAAAACTTTTGAGTGCTTCATCCAAATCAACCAATACCTCAATCTTTCTCAAGAAGAAATGATGTTACTCTTCTCGCATTCCTCAGTCTTCGGGTGTGGAAACTAGGTCAAATCTTAACTCTGACTAAATAATAGACTCACCTGTCCAGAGAAATATGCTAAGAACTCTCGAGGTAGGATATTTTTTCTTAGTCACTAAGTCTAATATGAAGCACACGACACTGTTTACTCGTCTGCTCTGAGAATGAGTCATTAGGTTTATGGAGTAGCCATACTCGACTGATCAAAGCCAAACGAAAACACGAACAACAGACAAAACGGTTATCCTTCTTCCTTTTCGATTTCCTAATAGAAATGAATACCATAATAAAAAAATTCACTCAGTCTGTTTGACAAGGTTTCACTTTAATTCACAAAACACAATAAAAGTACCTTCTTTGGGAAAAGCCAAGAAATTCTCACCTTGTTTAGTCTTTGTGTCTCTCAGTGCACATGTTGTAGTCTACTCATGACGTCACTAGGCGGCGGCAAAGTCCACACTTCCGGTTGAGATTGTGCTAGTTGCGATTCTCCCTTTGAAACTGTGTCAAGTTAAAATGAACATTTCACCATCTGTGTTGAAATGTAGTCAGGCTGTAGAACATAAGATTTGATTTCAAGCACCGCAGCTAGGTTCACAATGTGTTGAATCATTTACCGTTAGATTTACCTCAGAAATGGCTGAAAGTGGTTCGCAGACCAGAGGTGCTGAAACATTCACAAGACAACATGGAGAAGATCCCAAATCTAGTGACGCTAATCAGGGCAGGCGGAGAAGTAAACGCCGTTATGGTGACATTTTTAATAAAGAAAAGGATGACCATTGTGTTACAAAGTCAAACAAAAGTCCATGCAATAATGTGCCCGATTCATACAGTAATGCAAAACAGGGCAATGACATAAGTTCAGTTGGTGAAGTTGCCCATCGAAAGCCAAGAGAAAATAGATATTGGAATGTTGGTAAGTCTTGTAATCTTGCATCATGTAACAATGATTCTGTTGTACTTCAGTTGTAGCCTATGCAATCCTTTACTTCATATGAATGATTATAATTAATATTGTTCGCAGCAGTAAAAAATGTAACTATTTATCTTGTTAGATTCTTAATAAACTTTTAAGTACTAGTATACCCACTTGTTGTATGACTGTCAGCGTAAAGTCAGTAGAGATTAGCTTGTTCAAATTTAATTTTCCTTTTTTTAAGCCCAGCAGATCTTGTCAAAGCGTGTATGGGTCCGTCAACATTTCTCACAAGATACTAGGAGGATGAAAAGAAGAATGGAATTTACAGTGATGACCTACAACATATTGGCCCAGCGCTATCTGATGGACAATATGTACCTTTATGGTCATTGCCCCTCTTTTGTCCTTGCCTGGGAATTTAGGAGGGACAGGTTACTCAATGAGATAACATATCACCGAGCAGATGTAAGTTTACCTGGATGTAAATTTTAAGGATTTTTCAATAATTTTTTTGTACACCTCTACAGTTCACTATTTCAAAGATAATGATCCATATACTTAACTATCAAATGATAATAATCGATATGTTTAATTATTGTTTGTCAATATAACATTCCAGATACTTTGTTTTCAAGAAATGGAACCATGTGTTTTCAAGGACTTTCAGTATCAATTAAAACACCTGGGTAAGTTAAACAATATTGTAACCCCAACATTTTTAAATATATATTTTTTAGTGTAACCTGTCTCATTATCTGGTATTTGATAAAAGTTTAAGAATCAGCAATGTTTCTTCTGACATTGTTTTCTTACCCAAAACCAAGAAGTGGTCAAATTGTAAATGAACTAAAAGATAAAAAGTATGGAAACAAAACTTTTTTTTCCATAAGTGTATGATTACATACACCCACTAACTTGCAAATGTCAAATGCAAAAAAATCGGGCAATAATCTCATTTGGTGAAACCCTATTTGTGTAGTGGCCTTGATTTTTTCCTGTCAATTTCAGGATACATCGGTCACTATGTGAAGAAGACAGGAGATAAGCCAGACGGCTGTGCCACCTTTTTCAAACGTAGAAAATTTTCATTAGCTGCTGTGAAGTGTGTCAGATTTAATAAGAAGGTTGACGTTCTTGATAGAGACAATGTTGCATTGATTCTTCTTCTGAAGGTTCACAGATTTGGTCATAAAAAGATTGTTGTAGGCAATACTCATTTATTGTTCAACCCAAAGCGTGGGGATGTTAGACTTGCACAAACAGCCCTTCTTCTTTCATCACTGGAAGAAGTGTCCTTTAAAAAGGAAACGGTAAGGTGGCCGGTTATAATGTGTGGAGACTTCAACACAGATCCTTTCACACCTTTATATACATTTCTTACGGCAGGTCACCTGAGATATGAAGGCATACCTAGGCATCTTGTGTCAGAAACAGATTTCTTCACAAATAAGGCTGTTTTACTGTCCAGGGTGTTATTGCCACGGAGTTTGGGGATCTCAGACCAATGTATTCGGGTTAAGAGCTTTTTGCAGAGGTGTAACAAACAGGGTACACAATATTCAAGGGACAAGGGTAATGTTCATAGTAAAAGAGGACTGGAGGACAAGGACACTGTTTCATCCTTCAATCAACAAAAGGAAAAGGAAAGTTCAGGTGAACAGAATGAAGACAAAGGTGCTTCTTCAGAATATGGAAGACAAAAGATTGAAACTTGTTCAGTTGGACAAAAGGAAGACAAAAGTGCTTCATCAGAAACTGGTGAACAAAAGAATCAAACTTGTACTGATAAACAAAATGATGACAAAAGTGCTTCACCAGAATCAGGTAGCCAAGAGAATCAAACCTATTCAGGTAGACATAATGAAGACAGAAATACTTCATTAGAAACTGGCAAACAAAAGAATCAGACTTGCTCAGGTAGACATAATGAAGACAAAAACGCTTCATCAGAATCTGGCAAACAAAATAATCAAATTGGTACAAATAGACAAAATGAGGACAAAAACCACACCTCACCACCTTCTGTGCAAAAAGATCTTACTTGCTCAGGTAGACTACTTGAAAACAAAGACTCTGATGAGATAGTCGTCCAGAGTTTGTCTCAAAGAGAGTCTAAGGACCAAGATTCAGACCCAAGAATTCATCAGCAGAAAGATTGGAATCAGTCAGAGAAAGACTTAACTTCACCCTTAAATTCCTTGACATTTGAAACTGGTCAGTTGAGTCATACATTGAATTTAAGATCTGTCTATGACCACTGTCTTGGGTGGACAGGTAGACCAGGGGAGAGGGAAATCACCACACACCACAGCCGTGCCAGTGCCACTGTTGACTACATCTTTTACTCCACTAGTGGGAGCGGTCAGCATTTTTCTGGAAACTTGCAGCTACGAGATCAGTACAGCTTGCTCTCTGATGAGGATCTCAAGCAGCTGGGGAGTTTGCCAAACAGATTCCTGGGGTCTGATCACCTCTCTCTCTTGGCCAAATTTGCATTAGATTGATGAGGGGATTTGGTACACATGATAGTGATTTATATAGTAAATTACGGTTGGCAGTTTTTTTGTTTGTTTGTTTTTTTTGCTAAGAAAAAACCCAAAAGTTGAAAAACACTCAAAGCTATGTTATCTTTAAAATTCCTCATTGGATTGACATTTACGAATGCAAATTACTTTTTTGATGATGTAAGTATATCACAGTAGAATGCATCATTTCAGTTTTTTGAATGGTTATATTTTATTTAATACTATACAAAGTTTTGTACAAAATATGAAGAGGTTAAACATTTATCTAAATCCTGCCTACTTTTTTATATGAAAACTATTTTTGTATTGAAGGTGAACTGGCTTGAAATATAGAAACCAATAAAACCTCAAGTTAAATGTGCCTTTTGGTTCTCTGTAGTTCTTTCTGTACACTATAAGTCCACTTGTAACTTGATCACAGTAACAGATATCACAGATAAAACATACAGTCTGCAGACTTCTTATGGACTATATGCGGATTTGATAAGCTGGGTCCAGTTTCTTGCTTTCACTTGCATTGCAGGGATCCTCATATCCATCGTCCATTTTTTCCCTGCAATTCAATACAAAATTCATTGAAAAATTACCAAATTGACACTAGAAAATGTAAAGATATTAAATTCATAGAAGCATAAAACTATTCAACTGAATAGAGGACCCATTAAACGCCAGTGTCCTAGGTTGAATTAGAATATTTATTAAGAGCTTTATCTAGTTGATGACTGGTTTTATATCAGGTGTAAAATAATTAGAGGTCTTAAATATATCTCCCATAAAATGATCTTACTTGTCATGGACAATTATCTTGTCTTTGACTGATGATTCCTCTTTCTTCTGTGATGTTGCATTGCTGTTCATCGTTGCACTATTGGTGCTGTTGGAACCGTGACCAGCTGTTTTCTTTCCAGTATACAGGGGGCCAGTTGCACTCTTCATCTAGATAAAGCGATGTGATTATGATCTTTAAAATGCCAACCTTTCAATTCACCCCCAATTTTTGTGCTATTCCATTGACATGCTTTGATGTATATTTAATTATCGGTATGTACATATGTGTAAATTGGTTCAAACATGGCATTTTGAGGGGCTAATGGTAAGTTCCTACAGATACTTCCGAAGAAACAAAGGCATACTAAGTAAATGTTTATGACCAAGTTATTCAAATTCATCCTAATGCCATTAACTTTTACATACCATGCTTCTCACTTCTCTAGCATGCTTCTCCAACTCTTTGTTCATTTCTGTTCTACTCAGTTGTTGGCAGTTCAAACTTAAGTACTGCAATTTAATAATTAAAAAATGAGAATTAGTACAAATGAGCATTTGATTTCAAGATAGCAGAAGACAAATGGTCACAACAACAAAACATTTCAAAAGAAGTTTTTTAAATCAAGAAATGAATTTCACATACCTTCCAGCTTATCTGTTCATAACTGTGAGAATCATGTGGTACTGGCAATCCAAGTTTTACTTTCTTCACTTCATGCAGATCTGAAAATATAATAAATTTAATTAAACATTTTTATTAAACTCCATTTTTTTGCCATATTAATGTTAAGAATTCCCTGATATTTTTAAAGAAAGATGAAAACTATAGATTTGCAACAATAACTTCTATGTAACTTATTTAATTTAAGAAACTGAAAGGACAAAGTAGATCAGTACTTACATTTATTATAAGAATCTTCATAATCAAAAACTAATCCAGATAAAGACTGCAATAAGAACCAAAGAAAAAATGTCTTGATTCAGCACAACATCCATATCTAACAATACAAGATACCCTATTCACAAACTATATGTCTTCATAAAACATGTATTATCACTCAATATGTTTTACTACAAAAATAAGCCATGCGGTTTAGTTCTTACTTACAAATATCAATATAGATGTACAAATATACTAGTTTATACTCAGGAGTACTTATCATAACACCCATTTACATTCACTTGGATTCTAAATTATCTTTATTCAGTGCATTTTGTAGATTTTATCCACATGCAGACATCACTAAATCTTTGGCTCACTTTGAATTTCAGAGGTTTATACATGAGCTCCTCCCTCCTGCTCATACCAATCGTTCCATATTTGCCATTATGGCACNAATAAGAACCAAAGAAAAAATGTCTTGATTCAGCACAACATCCATATCTAACAATACAAGATACCCTATTCACAAACTATATGTCTTCATAAAACATGTATTATCACTCAATATGTTTTACTACAAAAATAAGCCATGCGGTTTAGTTCTTACTTACAAATATCAATATAGATGTACAAATATACTAGTTTATACTCAGGAGTACTTATCATAACACCCATTTACATTCACTTGGATTCTAAATTATCTTTATTCAGTGCATTTTGTAGATTTTATCCACATGCAGACATCACTAAATCTTTGGCTCACTTTGAATTTCAGAGGTTTATACATGAGCTCCTCCCTCCTGCTCATACCAATCGTTCCATATTTGCCATTTTGGCATACTCCAAGCACCACATGTCTGTGTACTGTTCCTGAGAAACTGGTCTTGAAACTAAGAGGAAAACGCTCTAATCCTGGCATTCCATTGGTGAGATGGCTAATAATCTCTGCTAAGGACCTCACAACTAATGAGACTTAAAACCCTACTGATTCTTTTAAAAATCATCCAGTGAATAAAACAAGGATTGTTTTTTCAAAAGAAAGTGTAATTAAGTTTTTAATCAAAATTCTCATAGGATAGAGAATATACCATATTTACAAAGTTCTGGACTTATTTCAGCCAGATGTTCTCACTGCTTGTATTTTTCATCTGATTTTCTTAAAAAAATTAATATAATTGTGTTCAAACCAAATCTATGATTTAGTATTGGCACTTGATGATATTTGTGTCATAAAAAGGATACATTCCCAAAATTACAGCTTCCAGACACTTTATTGGCAATGATTCTCTTATCATTTCTCTTGCACTTTCCATGAGTCTGAAAAACAAATTAGTAATATGTTCTTAAAAGCACGTTGTCTGGTTTCTAACATTAGTTTATCCGAAGGTATTAAAGCATTCCAGTTTCAAAATGATTGTTCACTTTGATATCAGTGGTAAATAAAAACAATCATTTGTCTGTTTAAAAAAATATCCAAATTATTCATAATAGAAAAAGTGTATGTCCTGTGTTAAATAGCAACTCACCCTGAGATTGGTCGATTCTTTCGTATTTCAAAAAATTGTGTCCCAGTATGGTTATATCTGAACAAAGTTAAGTTAGAGCATGAATTAAGCCTATTTTAACCTGTGATATATGTATATATAAAAATATGCATTACAAATATTAAAAATCTAATTCAATTTATCATTTTGATTAATATAATATTTATAAATAATATAAAGGATACTGTAATTCTCTCATATAGTTTTGCACTGCATTGAGTTTATCCTGACAAGACATAGAATTTGGAAGATTCAATGGAGGCTGGGGCACAGGAACCTGAAAAAATGTGAAAAAATATATTAAGAGTACTATTACAAAAAATAGACTTTAAAATTCATACTTACCTGTTCTAAAATGAGTTACTTTGAAATAGTAGATTTTAGTCAATTCATCACATTTTTGATAACATAATTTAAGCTCTTTTAATCACTGAACAAGGTAACAAAAAAATCATTATTTTTCCCAGTGTTCCATTTAAAATACTGTTACACATAGCATTTTATAATGACACCTGTATGTTTTACCTCATCTAAATCTGCATTGTCTCTGATCTTATTTACCACACTGTAACCATCTGGGTGGATCTTAGCGACGTGATCCCACATCCTTTTCCACGTAATGTCATCAATAGGAAAACCACTTTTGTTCACCCAGAAAAAGACTCCTTCTTCCTTCACACTATCATCATCTTTTTGCTTTTCCAAAGATGATCTTAATGCTTCCTTCTTTTTTGTAGGGTTAGGCCGAGTTGGGGACTTTGATGATGATGCTGTTTTTCGTGGGCTTGTAGGTGTTGGCGTAGGAGGAACGCTGGTCGGGGCCGTAGAGTTGGAGACACGGACCAAAGAACCAAAACTGGATAACTCCTCATATGGTTCCGTTGACATGGTAGTTAAACAGAGTACCTCATTGACGAGGTGTCAATATCTCACCAGTGTGTGCTTGAAGCTTTCTTATGGTTGTCAAGCCATAATCCTTTAAAATGAATTCATTTACCAATGTGGAAATCCAAATCTTTTCGGTCATTATACGAATCACCAAGATTGTTTACATCGTTGCTCCTTGCCAGCCTCGATTTCAATTCTCGTAACAGTCCCGCACTGATAGGTGGTCACAGTTGAATTCAGTGAGTTTAGTTGTATGTTTACATTCACAAGCAGCTGGAATCCTAAAATTATGCCCAAAATATTTTATTGTATGAGTGCACTCAAAAGCACTCATCGTAAAAAATTCCATTCGTATAAGTTATAACAGAGAAGTAGAGAAAGTTAATCCTTGTTTTAGTAGCCATCAATATTTTTATTTCCGGTGTACACACTACACCGATGACAAGTATTGTTACAACACCATAATGAATAATTTCGCAGAATTTTCCGGATGATAGACATCGAAAATGGCAGTTTCTGTCTCCAAAATACTCCAGTTTCTTGCCATATTTTTTGCAATATTTTTGGGTTACTGGGCCTACAGTAGAAGTCAACCGGAGCGGGAACATAAACGGAGGATCATCGAATGGATTGAAGAGAACCAACTAGAGCCTTTGGCCCCTGTCTTGGTTAATACGGGTAAATGCCAAACTCTTGTTATTACGGTTGAGTTGATAGAGATTCATATCACATCAAATCCTGATAAGCCTCACTGTATTGCGATATAGATTGATAGTCAAAACTAGTAATTTTGTTTCTTATTCATCACTTATTTCTAGATACTGTATGTCACTTTAGTTAAAATTTAACTTAAATCAATGTGGTCATCATTGTCAGTTAAGGTGATCTTTTATGCATGTATAGCAAATTGAATGCTGGAAGGTATTTTTTTTCATGAAAAAAGTCAGTGTAATGTAATTTCAGATTTATAAGAGACTGACTGCTTAACGGTAGTACTAGTATTACTAGCACGAAAATTCATGCGTTAGCACTCCTATTGACAATTCTGATATGTACTGTCTGTGCTAACGTTAGCACACACAGTACATATCAGAATTGTCAATAGGAGTGCTAACGCATGAATTTTCGTGCTAAAGTATTACATGAATGCATATATGTGAACAATGATTTGAATAAAATGCAAATAAATGCAACCGAATGACATCTAAATGAAAGTTTTGCATTAAATGTTATTTGCCCATGTTGATTGAATTGACTAAACCAAATTGCTCAGCAGGTGAAAAAAATTGGTACCCCGGTTTTGTAGATAAATCTGACATACTTTTAGGCAACAAGTATATAGAAGATTATGCTACATTGAGAAATGTAAGACCGCACATTCCACATGTATTATATGAGGAGCACAGAGCAAAACTGCTCAAAGCAGTACATAGTCTCAGAGAGCAACTGTTATTGAGACACTGGTTACAAGAAAATGATCTGCTCTGGTATTTTGAGAGGTATGTATTACCAATATTTACCTTACTTTGATTTTTTTTCGATGGCATGATTATTCATGGCCACTCTGGAATGTTTGTTTTCCATTTCAAGTTTTTTTTTTTTTTTTTTTTGCATTTTCAGTCAAATAAAAAAAGAAAACAATTTGAAAGACCAAATGTTTAAACAGGTTTTTAGGAGTAGATTTTAGATTTTTGACAATCAACATAAAAGTCATTTCAGAACATTTCAAAGGAGAATTGAATAGACAGAGACATAGGTTATCATGAAGTCTTCATGAATACCTTTGTCTTGAATTTTTTCTTTACCTTCTCTGTGCAAAGAGAACAAAGTTTGATGTTTATTTCTATATTTGTGTATTTTTAGATTAAAAGAGGAAGAAATTTTAAGCTTGGCATCACTCCTGAAAGCTGAGGACATAGTGTTCCAGAGATTAACAAGACATGATGTAACACTCAAAGAATACTTCAGATTAACAGAACATGTTGAAAACCTCCGCAACATATTCAAAGGTGATTCCTGTGAACAGTACAAAAAGATTAAATGGAAGGAGGTGGAGAAGAGTAAAGGCAAAAGTGTCTCCTATGGTAAATACTGTTAAAATGATTCTTTATTGATATACATCAGGAATTTGAATTTAAAAACCAGAGACCAAATTTAGAAAGTAATTATTTAGTGTGGGACTTCTTTGCCATACATATTTATTTATTGAGGTATGATTTAATCCTAGGTTCCTAACCATATAAGTTACTAAACAAAGATTTGCAAAACTGCCTTAGGTTTGGTATTTTATTTATCAAAAGGTGTTAAAACCACAAGATTAATATAAGATGTAATATTCCCAATTTTACTTTCAGTCAAAATATCTGTTGTCAGCTTCGTAATTGCTGGCGTCATTACAATACTGAACGCATTGACTCAGATTGTTGGAGTGGATAAAACATCACAAACTGCCACAAGCTCGAACCAGTCAAAAGTTGGGTTCTTTCAAGGTTTAACAAAATGGCTATCTTCACCAAGGGAAGAGATTGTTTGGGGTTGGAAGGAACCTCAAGAAGTTGGGAAAATGTTATCATTTCAGTTGAAGGTATGTACTTACCCAAGAGAATGATGTGAGTGTGTAATACTTGTAGTTTTATGAATTTCTCCTGATGTTATTTTGTGCAGTTGTACTTTCCTTAAAAAGAAATAATGTTTAGCATTGACAGAATTTGTGTTTTACATGTATGTTTACTTTTTTTTAAACAATGGGCTGTCACAATGTACATTAAAACATATTTTTCTTATTAAATTTCATATTTGGATGATGTTTTATTGTTTTTTTTGTTTTTTTTTCAGTTCTTTTATGGAGGGAGGGTCTACCCAGTCTCAGACGCTGACAATTTGTCTATAGAAATTGAGCACCAAAGTGACACACACTTCCCTCCAGTAACGTGTGCTGTTGAACTAGGACATCCCGAAGTGCACATCGCTTCAGTCTCCTTCACCGTCAGACGTGCTGGGACGTATTATATCCATGTAAAGCGCGATGATGTTCCCATCAAAGGGAGTCCATTTGAAAAGTTTTTCCAGTCAGGTTTGTAAATTAGCGATATGATGTTTTTTTGAAGAAACATTTTATCCAAATATTTTGTGAAATTTAGCTGTCTGAAGAGGCTAATAATATATTGTACCTACTTTGATTCTGGCTTTTCCAGAATGAGTGCAGAATACATTTTTAACTGTATATGATTATACCCATTAGATTTATTCCTTGGGGTGTCTTCAGACAAATAATTGTTAGTTTCTAATGCCATCCATTATATCGATTCCTGATTACTTTCTTTCTAGGTCCTATGAACCCAACCAAGACTAGAGTAGTGACCAACTGCCCTACAATTGTTTGTACGCAGCACCAAAGATATACTCTTTATGTTGAACCAAAGGACAGTTATGGGAATCTGTGTACACAGCTAGCAATAGAAAAGCAACTGCAGCAAGATAACTGTGGACTGCAATTTAGCTTTAAAGAAGTGAGGATTGATTAAATTTGAATATAAGTAGTCTGGCGTAATTATTTCATGTGTCCATTTAAATGAGATTATAATAGGTGGATTTATAGTTAACCCTTAATGATGACAGCGATACCTAATGAAATTCTTTAAAGTCATGATTAGCTTTTATCTGGTACTTCTGTATTATTCTGTACCTACTCTTGTCATCACTTTTGTATCATGATCCAATAATAGCTTATTTTTACAATGTTGTGTTTGATTATGTCCTCATGCAGGCTGGCACAGATGAAGATGCCCAAGTTCACACACAACTGCTGTATGAAGCTCCTGTTGGTCTGCTGGCAGCTAAAATAAATTTCTACAGTCCTGGGTGTTTTACAGGCAGCATTTCTTACCAAGACACACCAGTCTGTAACGGGGAGTTTAGTGTGGTGGTTTTGAAAGGTACCAAATTGAATTTAATAAAAGGGGGTAAGGTGTAATGAGTTTTAGAAGTGATTTTTTTTCCTTTTTTTTTTTTTTTTTTTTTTTTTTTTTTTTTTTTTTTTTTTTTTTTTTTTTGTCATCTGGTAATCCGAAGAGGTCCATCAGTTTGAATTGTTTGGTATGCAATGAGAATTGCTTTGAATATGAGAAGTCTTAAACACCATGAGCTTAGGGCTTTCACTGAAGAGGGATCAACAACAATAATACAAACATTAGATAAGATTTCCACTGCTCGTGTTTAGAGATATGTATTAGTATTCTGGGCATTCATATTTCCCAATGCCTGTTAAAATGAACCATTTTTAATGAACAATAAATGTTAAAAAATTATAAATATGTTTTTTTATTGTTTGCAGAAGATGAAGCAGTCCTGGTTAAGAAAAATATTGAGAAAAAGAAATACAAGTGCTATTACGAGGCTCGTTTACTAAGTTTGTGCAATGAGCGCTTTTCAAAGGCCAAAAAAGTTTACCTTTATATTTCACCCAGGGTAAGTTTTCACTTTTAACTATCCAAGCCTCTGAACTACGCTTTGTAACATCATTCTTAATAATAACTAGCCATTAATAAATGGAGGAAGTGTAGTTTGTTTGGCGTAAAATTGTTTCAACAGGTGAACACGAAGTCTAAATATTTTGATAATATCTCCTAACTTCCATATTTAATTTCTTTGCAGACTCTGAAAGTTTATGAATATTATTTGAAGATCATCCCAAAATTAATCACTGCATTTAGGGTGTGTCCATCCACAAAGGTATGTATTGTGGTTGTGTGATGAATAGTGTTGATCATGGTATGAGATCTAATATTTCAAAATAAATGATGCATTTAATTGGACTTGCTGATTTGGAAATTTCAACACCTTGCGTTATGGCAATGGTATGAAATCTGACATTACAAAATAAAGGTCCTTTAAGGATGCATGTAATTGGACTTAATGATTTGGAAATTTCAGTACCTTGCATTATGGCAATGGTATGAAATCTGACATAACAAAATAAAGGATGCATGTAATTGGATTTAATGATTCGGAAATTTCAGTACCTTGCAATATGGCAATAACAATCAAATTAAAAAATGACCATGCATTGTCCCAAAATGTTGAGAACTATTTGTGTTTATTTGTTAGCAGCTTTGCAAAATGATGTATGCTGCAATTCATACTAAAACTTTGGAGATATTTTCATGTTAACTGAGATTTGAAGAAATATAAAAAAAAACCTGCATGTTATGTAAAAATGCTGTATTTTTTGCTTTAGTTTTTGTTTGATGGGATGAACAATCAGTATGATGCTCCTGTGTTTATCATAGAAGATAGCACACAGCCCAATGTTGAGCTTGCCAGTAAAGATAGAAGCTTAATTGTTGCCACTTTTACTAACCACCTTATAAAGAATATTGGTAAGTATTTAATTTGTATGTTCAAATGTTTTACATTTTTCAATGTTGCATTTTTTTTCTCTGTATGATTCTTTGTGGGCATTTGCTCATTAGTTTAAAAAAAAAAACAGGTTTAATCAATGGTGCATGGAAAAGAATAATTTCTTTGCAAATGGGGTAAATGACTATTATAATTATGACATTGTATATTATTACTTGTATAGGTTTTATTATACAAGTAATGGTCTTTGTAATACTTATATGAATTTTTTTTCAAAAAAAATCTGAAATTATACATGCCCATGAGTTTCATTTGATTTATAGTATGAAAAATAATAATTTCTCACTTTCATCAAAGGGGGTTCACAGTCTTTCAAAGAAAAACAAGAATTTTTCTATAGTGAAATGAGAAGTCATCATCAGAAGCATCAACACACCAAGGTGACACTCAAGATTGACAGGAGTAACTTTTTTGAAAGTGTGAGTAGCAAATATGATGTGATTGTCTGACACGGGGTTAGCGCTGGAATTTTTTAAAATGACAGAACCAAAAGTTTGAATGAAAGTTATTATTAGATAATTATACTCGGAGAAAATGTTTGATTAATAGAGGTCCTTTCAGGTCATTTTCTTTCTAAGAAAATCATAGATGCATTACATATATTGTGTTCATATTTTAAATTGTGCCCTAAGACTTTGAAAAAAGAGCCATTAGAAAGATTATTAAATTGTTATTTGCGTTAAAAACTCATTTGTGATGTTTTTAAAAATTTTAAATTTTCATTTTAGTCATTTAAAGCCACAAAAGGGTTCAACATTGCTGACTGGTGCAAGAATTTTGAGATTCAGTTCATTGGGGAACAAGGTAGGTAATATGACACTAAGGGTGTATTCCCAGAGATTTAGATCCATCCAGAGATTAAGATTTAGATCGACCTAACTCCCTGGGGGTTCATGCTAAATTGCAGTCAGCCGAGCGCGCACCATAGTTAATTACCCCCTTACAGCTTTCAGTAGGCGGGACAGACGCTTAAGCCGGCTAAGCTGACAGTAATCTAGTGAGATTCCCCACAGGGATAGATTGATCTAAAATCTATGGAAATGGGGTCTAAGTAACACAAAATGTATAACATTATGCTTCAAAGGATACCTGAACTAAGAAAGAATGGGTTCTCATAATAGAGTGGTCAGTCATCTTTAGCTGGCTGCAGATTTGTTTTGAAATAATTTATTTAATTATTAATTACTTTCATGTTATGATTATGCCTTTATGCACTGAATTTTGATGGTTTTAAATGTCAATAATATTTTAATAATAGTACTTTGCTACATTTCTTAGGTCTGGATTGGGGTGGATTGAGGAGGGAATGGTTTCATCTCTTGTGCATTAACATTTTTGATCCCAGTAAATCCAAGCTATTCAGGAGATTAAAGAAAGATGACCCCCAGGGGCTTGTGAGTATTGTCCACAAATGCTCCTTGACACTTTTTTTCTTGTGGAAGACTGATAAGTTGAAATGTTAGAACCTGATTGTCAAATATGTATATTTAATCGAACTCCATGAAATACACACTAGGAAATTGAGGCTGATGCAACCTGTTTAAGTCCCAGGATTGTTAAATTGTTTTACTCTTGACACTTACAGTAAAATTATTATTATTATTATTATTATTATTATTATTATTATTATTATTATTATTATTATTATTTGCAACACTTTCATGTAGGTGTGACAGGTCATATTCTGTCTCACTAATTAACCTCCTTCACAATTATAAAATATATTTGCATAATTGCATACAATACTATGATTATGATATTTTTTCCACAAGGTTCTGCCCAACCCAAAGAGGCCAGAAGACCTGAAGCTGAAATACTATGAATTTGCTGGGAAAGTTGTGGGCAAGATTCTGTATGAATCTGCCTTAGGAGGCTCTTACAAACAGCAAGTCAGTGCTAAGTTTGCACGGTCATTCTTGGCTCAATTGATTGGGTTACGTGTCAATTACAAGGTAGGTAAAACACTTGAAATTTTATTAGTATGAGAGCTAGGCTGTGTATAAAGCATACCTTTTGTGGGAAGGGGCTGAATTTTAAGTTTAAAATCATATTCATATAGTATGTAAGTTTGTTTTGATAAGGCATAAAATAATGTATATCTGTGGTGCTAAAAACATTTTGGTATCAAAGTATTTTCTCACTTTGTTTCTGATCAGTACTTTGAACAAGATGACCCAGATTTGTACACCACCAAAATCAAGTATGTTTTAGAGAATGATCCTGCAGATATGGACATGCATTTTGTGGAGGAGGAATACAATGAGAAAAATGAGCTTGAAAGGGTGAGTTTTCGTTCATGTCAAAATTATGAAGCATAATAACAAGATAAAACAGAAAGTAACAGAGGAGTATTGCAAAGAATTTCAGCAGCTGTAATTTGATAATAGGTTCTCCAAACAAAAGTTAAACTCAAAAGGTTGTGAGTATTACTGTTCCAATATTTCAGTGTCTAGCAAGACTTTTTTTTCAGAGGAATAAGATGTTTTATGGAGTTGGCATATCTCATTGTAACCTTTATCTGGAGTCACCATGGGAATAATTGCGTGCATTTTCTATATTTCTATATATATGACAAAAGAAACGCTTGAAGTGATATGTGAGCTTGTTTATAACTTTACTACCAAAGTCTGTGTGGATGGTTATTCTATTTATTTATTTATTTATTATTATTTTATTTATTTTTTTTTGTAAACAGACAGTTAATTTGATCCCCAATGGAGCTCAGGTGCCAGTGACCAAAGCCAACAGACACCAGTACTTGGATGCTTTGGCACAATATCAGCTGGCAACTACAATAAAGGAGGAAATGGAAGCTTTTCTGAAAGGACTTAATGACTTGGTGCCTGATAACTTACTCAGCATTTTTGATGAATATGAACTAGAGGTGAGGATTTGCTACCTTCTTTTTTAGATATTTATTTATTTATTTGTTTATTATCTTTTCTTTGATAGATTAATGCTTCTTTTTAGCCCATGTTCTTTGCTGAATTTTATATCTTTTCGAACCAATCACCTGTTATCATTTATTTTGAGATAATTTATATTACTTTAAATTATAGATTAAAAAGCAAACTGTGGTGTTAAATAACCATGTTTTCAATAATTGTCTTCTAGCTGTTGATGTGTGGCACAGGATCATATAGCCTTGATGACTTGAAAAATAATGTGAATATCTGTGGAAATTCATATTCATTCAACAGGGTAAGGATACATTTACTATATATTGAATCAACCAAATAAACATTAATTTTTTTTTAAATAGATATTTAAATTTTAAAACATGAAACAGCAAATTTTTTATTGGGATTTTAAGATGTATAGTAGACAAAGTTATTTTTCTTATATCAGGGAAAAATCAGGCCCAGGTCAAATGAATTTTCTCAAATGAAATGGGCAATTGTGATTGTGTCAAGTTTTTACATCTTTACTGCTGATATTTTCTTTCAGACTTTGAATTGGTTCTGGACCATCATTGGAAGTTTCACAACAGAAGAAATGGCTCGTCTTGTTCAGTTCACCACAGGAAGTTCCCAGCTGCCACCTGGTGGATTTGGCTCCCTTTCCCCAACTTTCCAAATCTCGCCTGCTTTGTCTTCTGGAAGTTTGCCTACTGCTCATACTTGGTAGCTTTTCGCATACATATATATAAAGATTTGAATGTAACTTTACTTCACTGGACCTTATTTTTGAGTGATAAACAAAATTTATTATTATTCATCTCTTCAAATGTTGAAACAAAGGAAACAAAAACCTGTTTCCATATATTAGAATTGATAAAACATTAAACATAATAATTATTTTTATTTAATTGATAATTGTTAAGTTTGGAATGCAATATTACAGTATATTTAATTTGGTAATGTTACTTTATTTTGTTCCAAAATAGGCATCAAAAGTTGGTTATATTAAGAATAATTTATTTATTTATTTTTAGTTTCAACCAGTTGTGCCTTCCAGACTATGACAGCTTGGATCAGTTCCACCAAGCTCTACTGCTGGCTATTAATGAGGGCAATCAGGGATTTGGAATGATCTGATTCCTGTAACTGTTACAGTATATTTATAATGCAAAAATGAAATTACAATGCAGAGATTGCTGAATAAGATTTACTTGTAGGAGGTTGCAGAAAAATGTAAAAATTACTTGTGTTCAGATTACTGTTATAATAAGTCACTGTTTTTAAATAACACAAATGTCAAATGGTTAAAAAGAATAGTCTCTAAGTGCAAATATACTCCAATATTTCTATCATTTATTTTAATACTAGGCATACATATTCTGTATTTTGGCATTGTAAAAGCCAAATTATGTTTAAATTTCAGATTTTTAGACTTTTATGTTACAATTTGTTTTGCAATATATATGATATCAGACAAAAATAGGAGTAAAAGTGTTTGTTATCTGTGTTGATCCCATTTGTTCGCTCAGTAATCTCTTGTCCTTTAGACATTTTTCAATTTTTATTTTTGAAACTTTATAAATGTTGTGAAATTGATATTTATTTATAGGTATAAATGCATCATTTATTTATAATTGTATCTTGCTTCTCATTAATATTATTATTATTTGTTCTATTTATCAATAATATTAAGGAATTTACAAATATATTTTATAGATAATCTCCCAGTGAATTGGATACCAAGATAGATTTCATTTATTGGTAAGGTGATAGATTAAAACTAAGTATGAAAAGTAGTTTGATTTTACTTGAAACAAAAATACTTTTTTTAATTCTGCAATTATATTTCCCACATGCTGCGTAAACCCCAATTTGATTACACTATTTTTGTTCAGCATTCAATAAACTGAATGATAAGTGGTTAAAATTTGATGTTGTGTCCTCTGGGGCAAATTGATGCGATTGGCATGAGGATTTGTATGTTTTTATACCCGGTATCCAGTTAGTCAAGTCTCACACACACACAAACACCTGTAGTGTTAAGTGTAGAATATAAAAATGCATCTATCTTTTGTAGAATATTTTATTTGATGGGCCGTTTTGTGTATTTATTATTATTATTATACGTTATCTGTAGCCATTGTAAGTGCAATCATGTCGGAATGTCAGTGACATCAATATGAAAAACATAAAAGATAAACTTTATTCTTTTTTTAATCGAAAACTTGTGAAAAATAAAAGGCGGTCTTGTAGCGTAACTATTTCAGTGTGTTGGTCTTCATCTGTCCGAGGAAATCGCAGGTATAATGCATCTAAACTGTTTGGCGTTCAGACACGATAACTTGGCTTTTATTTATGGTTTCTTGCACTCCATTGGTGGGATGAACCTATCGGGGTCTGAAATACCTACTTCCACGTTGTAGAAACTGAAATGATAAAAAAAGAAAATTATTACCATCACGACCATTAACGCTGGTATAACATGTACCGTGTTAAACCCCATTCAGTAAAGTTACACAGTCACTGACCCCAAAAATTAATTTGAAAGTATTATAAACTAAAAAGAAAAATATCAAGGGTTTCATCAAAGTGGTTATGAAACGCAATCCCTTGTCACGTGGTTACTTACTGTGTCTGCACAAGTCCGACTGAGGAGTCGTAGAAATAGTCAGAGACGGGAACACAGGCGGGGTATGTCCAGGACCCATAGTATTTAGCTGAAGGTACACACAACTTGTAAGTTAATATATTTGCATGAAAGGTGTTTATCAAACATTGTTTCTTTATAGAAATCGAAAAACATATTTACGTTATCTTAAGAATATTTAAATAGATAAAAACCGAAAAACACACTTCCGATATCTTAAGAATATGAAAATAGATCGATGTTCAATAGGGGATTAATAGTTAATTATTATTATTATTTCTATGGGTCAAGAATAACCGAACTGCGACTGAAGGCAACTTTTTTTATTCAGCTTGAGTATCATGCATTTTACGTCCAAGAACGAAAAAACTCTCCTGCGCTTTTGCATATATTCTATGCAAATGCTTTACTCTAAAGAAAATGAAAAATACCACGCTTCAATCTTGGTTATTAAATAGAGTTGTTTCAAATTCCATAGCGTATCAAAGTTACCTCCTTGTTCCGTGGTCTCGCTCCACAGGGATACCAACACGCCGTCATTAGCTACAGAGGACCCAATGTACGCCTCACCGCCGCTCTTGGCATTGGCCGGGATGCCGATCTTCCTGAAGGGTCTGGTGAGAGCAGTGACATTACACATTTTGGTTTTCAGGTTGAGTCTGTATTCCATTCCCTTAAGATTGAGAAATGTTCATTAAAATACGCTTCTCGTTCAGACATAGTTACGAATGATGTCCTATAGAATGTGTAATCAAAATTTATTTCTATCATTTTATGTCAAATATTATACATAATTATATAGATGATAAAAATGTGCAAAAACTCTGTGAATGGGGTTTATGTTGTAAAGCATAAAAGCTGCATGGACAATAATCTACAAATTCTTCGATACCAGACCGCGTAACTTCTTGCCATATCTCGACATGCTATTTTAAACTGTAGGCTCGATGCAGCTGTGCATGTACCTCATTATGAAGCCATAAGACATCGTAGTATTCCCTATCTTCGTTGAAATACACCTCCTCGACCTTCCTGATTCTCTGGTTTATGGCATCATAAGAAATGTGAGCCCTCTCTGCAAATTTCTTGGTGATGTCCATCTGAAAAAGATTTTTTAATTTTAAAGAGACGGGTAGCATTGCCCTCCGCATTGGTGAATAGAAGAATCGGTATGTGAATTGAATATATACAGTTGCATATAGTTATCTGTTTGATATATTTGGGTAATTTTTTTGTGCCTGTGAAATGTAAAATATCGATGGATTTTTTGTCCAGGCACAGACGTCAAAAATATAATTACGAATCACTGCTTTTTATTACCTTTTTATAAAAGCTATGAGAAAGAAGGGCGTTTACATTCAGTAAAATAAAAAAATGTACCGGAGTTCTCTTCTTCAGTTATTATTATTATTATTATTATTATTATTATTATTATTATCGTTGTTGTTATTGCTGTTTCCTAGACATTTTAACATCTTGTCTTTTGTGCGCAATAGACGTAATACGGCTGGTTAAAGGCATCTTAATTCAAAAGTCCAAAATCTGAGCAAATATCAAGATTATAGGCCTTCAGTTTTACCCAATACTTAGTTCTTAAACTGTAACCTTATACAACTATAATATTAATATCAGGTTAAATGCACTCATATCACATGCTTCTATTCAGAAAGTTGTTGAAATATGTTCATATGCTGGCTGTCCTATCATATCTAAGACAAACACACACTTTGCACCATGTGTGCCCTGGTGGAGGGCGTGTCAGGGCACTACAGGCATAAATGGCGATACACGACGGAGGGAGTGACAATATGACAATAATGTTGGCTTTAGGAATATAATGAACTTGAAGTTATACATGAAATATAGTATGTTGGTGTTGGTGTCGATTTTAATTCTATCGGATTTCTGTGTGAATGGCGATATATTATGACTATTTTCTATTTACTAAAAGTAAAACCTGT